TTTTACTCTTTCTTTGAAAATTATATAAATAATCTCACCTTTCACTTTTTAATCATATCCTTATAAATGTGAGATTATTTATATAAGATTTTTAAAAAAGGTAAAAAAAACTTGATCAGGGTCCAATGAAAGAAGATGAGGTGTAAAGGTGGGATTATTTTGGGATTATTTAAAGGTGGGATTATTATGAGAACACCAGTGAAAGGTGGGATTATTCTTGTCAATTTTTCCTTACTATTTTGCTACTTGTTATACAACCTATATTGCTATTCATCCTATTATGTAATTTTTGTTATATGTGGATGATATCATAGTTACACGCAATTCCTCCTCACACATTCGGCTTTTTATTTCTCTTTTGGGAAATTATTTTGCCATGAAAGATCTAGGTGATATTCATTTTTCTTGGGGGTTCAGGCTGTGTGAGATACTTCTGGTCTATTTTTATCTTAGGCTAAATATGTGTCCGATCTCCTCACCCGTTTTCATCTTCATACTCTTAAGTCTTTTCGCACGCCTCTTCCCAATAGAACTAAGTTGTCTCTCACTGATGGTGAGTTACTTGCTGATCCTACAGAGTACCGTAGCATGGTAGGTGCATTGCAGTATTTAACTATGACTAGACCTGATATTACATATGCTGTTCACTTGGTGTCTCAATTTATGCATGCTCCTCGTACTTCACATATGTTGGTTGTGAAGAGAATTTTCAGGTACCTGCAGGGCACTCTCACACATGGTCTTCACCTACGGCCGTCTACACATCCTCATTCTGTTCTTGCATACTCTGATGCTGATTGGGCTGGTTGTCCTGATACTAGTCGCTCCATTTCAGGCTATGCTATTTTTCTAGGCCCAAATTTGATCTCTTGGCGTTCTAAGAAGCAACCAACTGTCTCCCGATCCTCCACTGAAGTTGAGTATCGAGCCATTGCCTACACTGTCCAAGACACACTCCACATCCGGTCCATCCTTTTTGAGCTCGGCTTTCCGATTCATCGTCCGGTGAGGCTACTTTGTGATAATATTTCTGCTTCATACTTATCTGTTAATCCCATTCAGCATGCTCACAGTAAGCACATTGACATTGATTATCACTTTGTTCGCGAGCGTGTGGCTCATGGCGATCTCCTTGTGCAGTATGTTCCCACTAAGTTTCAGTTAGTTGATATTTTCACTAAAAGTTTGGCTCCTCAATAGTTTTTATTTTTGCGAGACAATCTACGCGTAGTTCCTCCTGCATAGCTTGAGGGGGTGTAATAGTGTAGAATTATTATTAAGCAGTTTCCTTATTGTACTCAAACACTTATTTCATTATAAATATACTGTCAGGGCTACCAGTCAGGCAAACCTGTTATTATTTCTCACATTATTATGCATGTTAAAATGTCTACAAGTCTATTATTGTATTTGTAATTTTGTACAAACTTTTATATTGAATGTTATATTGTTATCATGTTATGACTTTTAATGGTTTTTTAATCAACCCGAATGGCCCCGAAAACCGATTCAACCCGACCGGAATCCCAAATTGTGCAACCCGAATAGCCCGATACTTTTTTTTGATAGGGTAGGGTTTTAAATTATAACTCCGATAACCGAACGGGTATGCCAAATCTCAACCCGTCCTACCCAACTCGTCCGACGCTCTCCCCGGCCTATGTGTGATCCAACCATCGTCGTCGTAAATCGGCTCTCAACGAGAGCACCAAATGATGGAGTTTAACTCCAACTACAAATGCTCATCTATGAAAGCAGATGAAATTTAGGCAGCGTAAGACAGTTTTATTATCAAGGAGGCGGATCCCTTTTTAGGGTATGTACAAAAAGTATTGATAGACCTTAGTTTACAATAGTCTAGGAGAAAACTTATACATTTGATGCATTTAATCATAAATAGGAGTCTTGTAACGTCCCAATCTTACGAAACTATTATTCCCCAGGTCCACGTTTCTTCCATTAATTCCCTGGCGCTGTCAAATAGCTATGCTCAAATGATAGTCTTTGACGTAAGCCCTAGGAGGAGCCCGACCTCGCAATTCCGGCCAGGTTCAAGGTCTGTTGTCCATAGTGGCCTAGTTATGGGTTCCTTTCACGGGTCAAGTCCCTAGCCTGGCCCAGTAGCTATTATTAATTATTAATCTCGATTAGTGGGCTGCTCCCATGTAATGGGCTTTGTTCTGATTTGTTCTTGGGTAATGGCTGTGATCAATGGTACCTAGCAGTCACAGAGAAGATTTAATGTTTTAGAGTGGTTTGGTTCAAACGATCTTGATACATTCCTGATTTCTATCACGGTAAAGCACGGTTTAATTCAATTTGTTTGCCCAGCCGTTTGTCCGAAATGGAAGTGACGAATTGGTTGGATACGAAATGGCTCAATTGTCCACTTAAGGGGAAGAACTAGATATTCACATTCAAGAAACTAAAAAGAGAAGTAGAGAACATATGTGAATTAGACTTTGAGTTGGAACTATATGAGAGGAAAGAGAAATGCAAAATGTAAAGAAAAATGAAAAAAAACATTCGCCAACTAAATGGGTCTGTTTGTGGTAAATGTGTTAATGTGATTCTTTTTAAGTAGACATGTTTATATGATGTTTTTTAAGTAGATGAATCTAGACGATGGAATTACAATTCTAGAAAGGCTTATTTGACCTTTTTTCTCAACTCTTTTATACATCATCACGCGCCAAGTATATTTCGTGTATGCATAGTATAACACTAAATGTAAATATGTAAGTTGGACCGAAATATATTTTGAGTTTAATTTATTCTATTTTTCATAGTGTATTTCAACATAGAATTGTATATAGCGCCTAATCTATATTCTTCAAGAAGATCTCGATGTTGTTCTTAGTTAACCAGGTCAACAGATGCATTAATAATAATAAATCATATAATCATAGGTGTAAATGCAATAATATCAAGAATATATTTGACTACTTTAAATGTGAGTGCATTTAGTGTTAAATGTTTAATGTGATTGCGTTTTAGGTTTTAAAGGATATAATTTGGGTGTTTTCTATTTGCAGCCACAAAATTAGTAATTGCAGGTACCTAATTAGATTTAAATAAATAAAATAATTTCAAATTTCTATTTTACCCTTACACAAGTATGTAGTGTAGAATATTAGAATTTGTAGCCTACTAGTAACGTGGGCGGCATCAATAATGAAGACTGAGGGGGGGGGGGGGGGGGGGGGGGGGAGATCAAGTTCAAAAACTCAATAAACCAAAATTTGATCGCTGGGCTGCACATTGGATGTTTTCATGGGTGAAGAGACTTGTGAATTGCAATTCTGATTCGACCTTCCTCTTGAAAAAGTAAGGATAGTTTTGCACGAAATCAAACCAATCAGCCAACTCTCATCACAGTGAACCACTACAGTTTCATTGGTAGTGGGATTGATCCCAAGAAATCATTTACACAACAAGTAGAAGGATATGTATTAGGAGATGGCGGCTGCAGTGTATTTTGGACCACTGCTTCTACAAATTCAGTCTAACCTTACAATTTAATCTTTCTACATCGTTGTGAAAAAAATAAGTTAGCCGCTGTGGTGTATGTAAGTAGAAGTTTCAAAATGATTGATTCAGGGGGCTACGTTTAATAGAAAGGGGAAAGATAGAAAAGTATTTATCCCTTATGGGAAGCATGTGTGTGTAGTTAGCAAATCTATAACTGAATAGAAATTCCCTATAATTTTCTTTAATGGTCTCATATACCATTATACCGTGAATATTAACAAAGTCAAGAATAATTATAGTTTTATATATGGTTATTCTTGCAAAAATATGATCCTTAATTACAGTCAATAGGGCTTTCACATCTTATTAATCCCTCCAAAATGAAAATTCTTACATATATGCAAGAATTGTGAAGATAAAAATGTAACAAAAAAATATTGTGTATACAAAAGTCTAAAAAACTGAGCATTTCAATCATTTTGTGATCTATGCTCACATTATGTTTTAAAATAATGTGAATCATTAGCGGACAACAAAGTGTCGTACTATACTAGTTTAGTGAGATAAGAAATGTGTGTGTATACATGAAATGTGTGGGCCTGCGCATTCCTTTATAAAGTGAGTGATTGCGCTTTATTTGAGGGAGGGGTGGACCGTGGAAGGGTATTCTAATTTGATTCCAACCCGGACCATCGTAATCCTGAAAATGCCATAGCCATTCGAGTAATTTTCTAGTTAAGGATGGATCCAATCCCAATCCCGAACAGAATCAGACCAAGCATATAAATAACTGAACAAGGCGCATGTTAATTAGGTTCTAGGCGATAACCGGCATGCGTTTAGAGTAGGCCATTCAGAAACGATACCTAATCAGAACCAAAACACAACTCGTAGCTCATGTTCGGTTCTTTTACGGGCAATACTACAATTGGACCTGAAACTGAACCGGGGCCAAGTAAGTCCCTAGATATAGCCTGGTTATAGTGTGGGTCTCTAATCTCTATTGTGGTTCACACTTCATAGTGTGCTTCTTCTTGACCAAATTTTTTGAAGGAGCTAGTTGTGGGAACCAGAAGCGCCCAATCCAGTCCAACTATATAGTTGCCTGATATGAGTTCCAATCTTGTTGCATAGGACAACTCATAAGATTCAACCCCTAAGCTAGAGCACATGGATGGTCATGCAATGCAAATACAGGCCTTTTTAAGCTTTAAGAGGTTAAAATGGAATTAAACCCATAAGATTCAATTAACTCATTTTCATTTCATTTTCATTTACCCCCGTGCCGCAAAGGCTCCCACCTACGGTGGGGTAGGGGGGGGGTCGGATGTACGCAGCCTTACCCCTGTACTAAAGAACAGAGAGACTGTTTCCGGATGACACATAGTGAAAATCCCGTCCAAAATTGCATGGACTGACTGCTGCTTCATAACAAAGAAGCGCAGACAGTTTAGTGAGCCATTTTGCTTTATTCCATCATAATCTCAAGCCAAAAAATAATGAATCTTTGGCTCCATTGCAAAAAATAATGATTCAATTAACTAATTACGAATATCATAAAACCAAGTACTTATACAAATGCTCAAAAACGATATCATGGGATCCATAGCAAAGTTATTAATTGAATATACAAGCCTAAAGAGAAATTAATAATTTACAAGAACAATAAACAAAATATATGCTGTTCAAAGGAAACAGAATATACAAAAAAATGCAAACTTATGGCATCTTTTGATTTCAACTTACAATTTATGTGGGGTATAGTATCATTCATCTCGTTTGTCATCATCCAAGTCCAAGTACTCAAAGCTAAGGGCACTGTTTGGATTCGGATTAAAACTAGAATTCACATAACATTTCATGTCATGAAACAGGTTCAAATTATCCACCAGTTTGTGATATATGTTGCATCCACAACACTACATGACCACATAAAACAGACAAATTCAGAAATTAAACCAGAAAGTAAGCAATTGATCATCAGTACAGGAATGACAATCATTCTTATGAAATTTGCCAGGCATTAGCCCAGCACTTAAGCAGCGCTTAACAGAACTAGAACACCTAATTGGGTGAGTACCTAGCCCGACTAAAACCAAACAGGTCTAGAGTCGTAAATAGAGACAAGGACGATAGCATAGGGACATGGGTAACAGTAAGGAAAAATCACATTTTTAGTCCATCTTTATTCGTTACTACTTCATAATATGTAGTTTATAACCTGTCTCATATTTTATAATAATTTTGCTCCATCAATTGTTTAACTGCAATACTATTGATCTTCTTAATATAAATGTTTGGAAAGAATGTAATAAAAAAATAGGTGAGAGAAGTGTAAGGGCATGTAAGGGCAGTCGCCCCCTCTCAACCCCTACCCAACCCCATATATACAATATTTCTTGAATACGCCACTGTGTGTAAACATCCCCGTATCTGCAACTCATTTCTAGTGATTTGGTTATAATCCCCCCACTTGAGAAGTTGAGAGCGTAGGGTAGGTGAAGAGAGGAGTCTTAGGGGGTGTTTGGATTTGATTCTTAAAACCGCTTCTGCTCCTTCAGGGAGCAGAAACAAAAGTTGGAGTGTTTGGGTAAAAGTGCAGAAGTGATTCTGGTGCTCTAATTTACTCCTAAAATCAGTTTTTTAGAAGCTGGGGGTGACCAGCTTCTGAAAACTGATTCTGATTCTACTTCTGCTTTAAAAAAGAAGCAGAATCAGAATCAGTTCCAAACGCCCACTTAAATCATGGTTGTATCTTCCACTCTCAATTGCAACCCTAGACATTCACTGTCCACACCATTTTCTTCTCGTAAGATAGTTACTTGCATTTCATCTTATTTTCCCAATTTAAACTCCCCAAACAAGAACATGTAACAGCTTACACCTCTCTTTCCTTGGTCTTTCTTTTACACTTGTGTTCATTAATTAGATTCTTCTACACCCTCAGCTGGTGAAGCTAGTGGTATGCCAAGCATAACAATTGCTAAACAAAACTTGTAAAATTCGAAAAATAAATCCAATCCAAGTTTACATATTAGTCAAACAATTAGGTACCTGAACAAAAACGGTACCATCCGTGTAAGCATGAGGGTTGATGGCGCGAGTTGTGCGCTGTCCACAGACGTTGCAGGTGAAGGCCACGCGCATACGACGTCGTGGAGAGTTGGTAAAGAGGGACCAAGGGAAGGTAGATACTTGCTCCTTTCCCGAATCCGGTTTTGCACCAGCGGGAACCGGCGGTCCTTCCATCCCTGAACCTGTAGTCCAGCCTCGAACGTTCGCAGCTCTCAGAACTAATCCCATCGCCACGTCCTAACAGAAATGATCGAAATCCCGAGTAATGATCCAGAAGAGAAACACCCAATTGAGAAAGGGATTAGAAAACATTACCTCGGAAAGTGTCTGATTGGGAATGATTGGATCGAAGACTGGCCCATCGCAGTCGGATGGGACATCAGGTCCGTTTCCATTACCTGCGGAACAAGCAAAAAAGGAATAGAGCGAATTATAACGGGGCGCGAAAGACCGATTGTTAATTCAATAATAAAATAGATACGAGCGGACGGAGATTGGTACTTCTGTGGGAGGCGGAGAAGCGGATGATGCGTTTGGAGGAAAGGCGATTGGCTTTTAAAGGGACAGAGGTTGGGAGAGAAGGAGGAGGGACTACGGCGGCTGTGAATGATGCCAGAGCTTCCATGCCGGCTGCTTTACTTACACAGTTGCGACGGGATTCCTTGCTTCAAGATATGGAATTATTATGGAAGGATGGAAACACTTTGGAAAAGGGTCGGATACGGGGTTTCTGTGAGGCAAATAAGATAAAATACAGAGGTACTATTATTATTATTATTATTATTTTAATTATTATTATTATTATTGATGGTACCATGGACTCTGACCATGGCCAATTACATAATACAGCTCATAACAGGATCAGCCCTCCACGGGGTTAGCCTAATTGACATGATAAGCCCACAACGGGACAGAGCCCTTACGGGATTAGCCCTTAAACGGGATTAATGTTAGATAACCACTAGGCCTAACTAGGAATCAAGCCCACGAGAGGAGCCCACAACCAGGCCAGGTTGGAAAGCAGGTCTTGAGCCTGGGCGGAGTTCTAGTGAGGCTGGAGGATTCCTAGGGCTGACGTGACACGCTATCATTAGAACGGTTGCTGGCAGGAGTTAACGGCAGGAACGTGGGAATAAAGGAACAATCATTGTGCAACGGCCAAGACGTTACAAGAGTCCTATTCGAACTAATATGTAATTAATAGCATTTATTGTATCAGTTTCCTTTTGAAACACTAGTTCCTTAACCTATAAATAAGACTTGTAAACCTCCTGGGAGGGGGATCGGAACACTGATCAATAAGACACTGTCTAACGCTGCCATATTTTTATCTGCTTCTGTAGATTTAGCTCTCGTAGTTGGATTAAACACTGAGGGAAATCTCCCAAAGGGGGGTTGGATGGAGCCATCGCTCCTGCAGCCAGAGACTCAGAGGTCGAGTGCTCATCCACGATCAGGACCGGGGGAGCCTTCTTCCCAGTCTCCCCTTTCTTCGGCTTCTTTCCAGAAGGGGCGACAACTTTGCCTGTCGCCTTCCTCTTTGCGGCGACAGCATCAGCGGGGACGGCCGAGGGCTCAGCATCCCTGGAGAAAAATTCATCGACGGGCTTTTGAATGCCCGCCTCCTTCTTCTTCGACTCCTTGGCCGATTTCTTCTTGAAACCAACAAAGTTTCTAACGTCCATGCTAGCGCCTGCAAAATGAACATTGATCAATAAATGAGGATGAAGGGTCACGACAAATAACAAAAGCAAGCAAAATTTTTCTAAATACATAGTGCTAAGAGCCTTCGGGGACTACCTCCTATGCTCTCGAAGGCTCGGTCGAGGAAGGGGTACTTCTCGTCCTTCTCTCCCAGGAAACGATAGCGCCGGAAGCCCAAGCTGTGGAGATCATCCGGGAGGGTCGACTCCTTAACTGACACGTACTTCTCACGCCCCTCCGGGATAGCGGAAATCTTCTTCCCTGCCTTCTCGAGGGCAGCACTCCCCACCTTCGGGTGCCTCCTGAAATAATTCCTCAGCTCCCTCGGGAATGGGTTGTCCACCATCATGATGTAACAAAAATGGTCCCTCCAGCCCTTGTGGGACGAGGGCACGTCATCAAAAAACCTCCACGGGGCATTCTGCTGCAAGTTCGCGTAGCCCTCAGAATTAGTGTGACCCCCGCGACAAAGGTTGAAGCTTTGGAAAAACAGATCAAGGCTGGGGGCCACCTCCGAGACCGGCAGAGCTGCAAGAACCCGGTGATGTAGGAGTGGCTGTTTGGGGTGAGTTGGTAGGGGGCTAATCCTACATACCAAAGGTATTCAAGGAGGAAGGGGTGCAACGGAAAACGAAGTCCCATTGACACTGAGAGGACGTGGACTGCGAAGCACCCCTCGGGAGCTTGGGATAGTAGATCGTTGGGGCCCGGTTCTACCACCGTCGCTGAAGGCCCCACATGCATCTGTGTCACGTAGCATTCGGCCCAATCAGCCCTTGAGTTGATGGACAGAGCAGCGGTATTTAACCATGAGTACCCCTCCGGTATTCCCACGTGCTTTCCACAGTCTGCAGCACTCGGCTTATTTTCCTTGGAAGCCCTCACTTTCTTCTAGCCCTTCACCGATGGCGCTGCTCTGAGAGGTTCTGGACTGAGGGCACGTGAAGTCCCTTCTCCAGTCGCAACAGCCGAAGGGATGGCGATGGTCACCCGGTGGCGTTCTTACTCCTCCTCCTCCTAGGCCATTTGCATGGCGAGTGCCATCTCCTCGTCCTCAATTACTTGTTCGAAGTCCTCGGCTTCGGCCACAAGGTCCTTCTGCACCTCCTGTGCTATGACAGAATCATTCTGGGACGAAGGCTCCCCACTAGCTGACCCCTCTTCCTACCAGGTCTCGGCCTGTATTGAAGGCTATCCGGAGATATCTTGGGAGTCACTCGCGGAAGACATCTTTACTACGATACGCCGAGGGAAACGATAATAGGGAGATAAACCTCTAAGGCCACAAAAAACACTAGACCCTAAGGGGGCAAAGCTAAATATGCTACTGGAGCGAAGAACAAAAGAAGATCTGACCTCGGAATCTGGGTTTTGATCGAACGAAAGCTTTCTCTCTCTAGAAATAAAATGGGCAGAGCTTCGCTAAACAACAGGATCGCACAAAGGGAATAGGTCAGGGCTTGGGGTATTTATAGGCTCCCCATTTCGGGCCTGGGCCGAGAATTGGGCCCCCGGTTACAAAAATCATCATTACGAACCGCCGCTTTAGCCAACCGGTGACACCTGCCTGGGACAGCCAATGAGAGCATGCCACGTGGACCCACCTGCAATGGTCATATTCCAACGGTTATATCCCCAACGGTCATATCCCAACGGCTATATTTCACACGGTCACCTCGCAACGATGTCTTCAGCTGGCACCCTTCGGGAAAAACAACAAACATAGTCAGCCCTCAGAGAACACATTCACCCTCCTCAAGGGCAAATCCTCAGCGTAAGATCAAGGAACCCCTCGGGAGCCCTTAGCCCTCATGAGGACCAAAGAGCCCCCGACAACACAGGAACAATCACTGGCATTCATCCCCTCGGCATCCCCGAGGTATGCACCCGTGCTCATCACAAGTAACCTTCGGGTAATCAACAAAGAAGCCCTCAGGTCACGGACAACCCCTGACCTTAACATTATACTCAGATCGAAGGAGCACCTTTTCGATTCATCAATGGGGGAACTCGGTGCACTCTTTTTCCCTTGTTAGGATTTTTTTCCCACATGGTTTTTCCTAACGAGGTTTTTAACGAGACATCCCCCCAAAATGAAACGAAAAGGTTCAGCCCTCGGCCCTGCGCCGAGAGCAGGCACTGCTCTACTCCTTTTCACCACATTACATGTGCCCCAAGGAGTGGGAGATTGGAGAACCCCTTCGGGAAATCACAAAATGTTAAAAGCATTGTCAACATGATCCTTCAGTCCTAAAATATGAGGGACTGAGGGACTGCCCTCGACAAATCACGCAACACAAACCCCCCACTACTTTACAAACTACAAATTACAAACGCCAAAGGACAAGCGCAAATTACTCTTTTTCCCTCAAGTACCTTTCGGCAAAAGGAGTGAGGGACTCCTGATGGAGTATATGGGCCACGGACCCCCGGTCCACAGACTCCTACTACTGTAACACAGGCCCAACAGGCCCAAGAAGCACAGGAGGCCCAAAGAACAGCGGCTCAAGTGCCGAGAAGCCAACGGTGCAAACATGATTGCCTCCGGGCCCCATGGCCGAGGGCTCCAAACTCCAAGAAACAGCTAATCTTCTACATACAGAGCTATTGGGAGAAGGCGGAGAAATCGTAAGCCCTCGGGCCTCAGCTACAAAGCCTTCGGCTATGTACGGACATCAGAGATTCTCTTTAGAGACAAGCAACAGCTGCATTTAATGCGGCGTCACGTCCGCCCACCGCATTTAATGCGGTGCACATGCGTATGCCAGTGTCACCCCGGTTGAGGTGACCCCTCCACCACCAGATTATTGACACGTGTCTTTATCTAGCATTTACTGCTGCTATAAATAGCAACTCATTCTCCAATGTAAATCATCACAACTTTCATATTCGAATACACACTCTCTCTCTTACTTATTTGCTCTGACTTCTCTCTAGTTATTCTCCACAATAACCCTCGGATAAGCTACCCCCCGGGTACACTATCCATCAACACTTTTCTTCGATCTACGTGTATTGTATTGAAATCTATTGTGAATCGCATACAACTTCAAATGGTGAATGAGGTCAGACTTGCACTTATATATACCACACACCATTATCTGAGTGAGATGATAGAGGGTAGGCCGATAGGCAAGGGCTCACATCTGAAAATTGACTATGACATAGGACATCATTGATTCTAATGGGATTTGTTGGTCCCGTTTGTAATGGGAACAGTCTAGAGGGGGGGTGAATAGACTGTTCAAGAATTTAAATTTTTCTCTAAGTCAAGTCTGACTTATCAGAGATGGTCGAAATCTGGTGACAGAGATGGTCAAGTTCTGATGGCAGAACTAGACCAGGCAGCGGATAAGTTTCTGTCCGGGTAGCCTCTAGAAGAAAGCTAAGGCAAAATGCCTTTCTGATAACTCTGAAGGAAGATCTGCTGGACACAGAGTCCAACCTTAAGAGTTAATCAGTAGAATCTTAAGTGCAGGAATTAAAAGCTTAAAGTAAATGACACCGGGGTTTTTATAGTGGTTCAAGGAACAACTTGTTCCTCTAGTCCACTGTTCCACTAAGCTTGCAAAAACAACTGTTTACAACGCCTTAGTCCCTAGAACTTAAGAAGCACTCCTCGTCTTCTTCAAGTCTAGTTGCCACCCGGGATGCAGTCCTGCTTCCTGATGGCTGGTCTCGTTTCACTGAGTCTCTTGAAGTATCCCCACTTCACTTACTCCAGCTAGTTTGAGACGTCCCTTCTTTTTCAAGAAGTATTTGATTCAAAATCAGTTTTCTCCAACGTTGTTTCTTCACAAAGAATGAGTAGATGAAGCTTTCGAAGTGTTGAAGAACTGAGTAACTTTGCAGCTTGCTAGTTGGATGAAGGATAGGAAAATATATCTTCCAAGTGTAGCCTTTTCTTGTTTAAGGATGAAGTTTGAATCTCAAGAAGGCTTTGAGCAAGTTCGTTTTGCAGATATTGTAGCAAAGTTAGTTTTCTTAGTTCTTCAGAGTGTATCTTATACACTGGGAGCAGTCTTCCCGTTGGAGTGTAGAAGACAGCTTCATTAAATGCTTGTACTGTTGACTTGACCGGTTGGACCTTCGACTTGCTATTTTGGGGGCGTGAAGATACCCGCATGGTCAATCATCAGCTTTAAATATCTCTTCGTACGTACATCATTAAATGTGCATTTAATGCGTGTGCAGTACCATGTTTCCGTTGAAAGGTTCGTAACCGTTAAGGGATTTCCCGTTAGTTTAACGACCGTTGGAAAGAGCTTCCGGAATCTGGTGGGTTTAGCAGAGTCTTAAGAGGCTCTCTGGTTCAATCTCTGAAGTCCGCCTCTGTTGCCAACTCTGGTATCTTTCTGATGACCAGTTTCTGATGGCTTCTCTGGTGAGCAACTCTGGGAGCAACTCTGGTAGAAGCAAGATGGAACTCTGGCAGACAGACTAAGCTAAAACTTACAAAAGAAATTCTAATACAAAATTTCTAATGGGTTACTTTCAAATTCTAATTAACCTAGCATCATCAAAATCTAAATACATTTATTCCTTACAGGATTGTGTGATCTTTATGTGAGTACAGATTCATGATGAAGAAGGGTGTGAGGGTTGGATTCAGATTTCTGACCACTTTACTATCATCTTCATCAGAAAAAACTTCATTTGATGAAACAGAAATATCAAGTATACCATTTTATATTAGAGAGACTGTGAAAGGACTGTAAACATCAACCGAGAATTCTAAGCATAAGGGGTACTTGCTGAAATAAGTTTGGATAAACTTAAGGTTCAAGAAAAAATGAAAAGCGATTTCATCATTGACATAAACATGTGGAGGGCAACCATCAACCATATAAGGCAACTTGAAGTGATTTGTTGGGTTGTGATCACATAATATGGAAAAAAGTTGTTCTACAAAGTCTTTGTATATAGCCGAATAACGAACTTGAATAGCAAAGGCGACGTTACGATTGAAGTTGTAGTTGTTGGTCCAACTCCTACCCAATTTCAGCATAATCAGAAAAATAAAATACCATATGGATAACTAGGGGAACATATATAGATTGGTCAAAGAAAATGACCAACAATATGCCAAACATGAATCCAACTTGTGCCAAGAATATATCTGATCACTAATTATAATATAACTGACTACAACAAACCGGACATTGTGGATACAACTCATTAACATGATGGTAAGGAATAAAGCCGACTATGAACTAATCATGAACGAGAAGATCATATCTGTATGCAGTATGCTAGGAGCATTTTTTCCATATTTCAAAACGCACATTGTAGAATATTTTATTTTGCGAATTAAAAAAAAATGAAAAATAACAGCGAAATCATTACAATATATAATCAATGTAGTAACTTGCAATACAACATCATAAAAATTGAACCACATGATAACCATAACAAGCACTTGTTAAAGAAGAAAAAGCAATACATGAGTTGATCGTCAACTCGGATATAGAATCACACGAAGAAAAATGGAAGGAGAGAACAATCACAAGTGGAAAAAAAGGAGAAGGAAACATACATCGTAACCGACAAGAGGAAAACGAGAGCGATAGAAACAGGAAAAAAGGTTACAAAGATGGAGTCCGCTGTTGACTAAGGAGGGGCAAAATTGACTTTGGAAATCAGTATGTTTTAAAATGGGGCAAATACTTTCCTATTATGGAAAATAAATATAACTGGTCCTATTAAAGCATATTAATAATGTTTTAGTCAAGTTCTAATATAAATACTTGAGTATGTAAATTTTACTCCTTCCGGTCCTAAATAAAGTTCAGTGTTTGACTTCACACAAAATAAGGAAATAAATTAAGCAATTACCCTAAAAGGGAGTAAAACATTGATAAAATTCCAAAACAAGAGTTGATGTTGATTAATTCCCTAAATAGGAGCTATCCGTTATTTGGTCCGTATCTTCTACCAATTTTACCCCATTTTTATAAAATAATTTACTTTATCTGCCAACTTACTTTTTCTTTGCCACATTCTTGTGCAACCCCACCTCTTCCACTTTATCTCCCTCTTCCTCTGCCTCATTCATTTTCAGATCTGATTTCTCTCACTTCTCCATCTCCCATGCAGCAGATTACAAAGACTCCAAGAGTGGATCTTTTCCTCCAACTTCGACCACTGGCAGACGACGGCGACAACGGCGATCCTCACAGGTAAGTTTTAATCTCTTGCTCTTCGTTCTTGTTTTTCTTCCTCTCCTCCTCCTTTTCTTCTCAATTCCCTTCTTCTTTTCTCTTATGTTAATTCAATCGGCAGTGGAGCTTTAATGAGCTTTTTGTTTTCATACATAAATTGGTGGTTTGTTGTTTGCTTAGGACCATTTTTTTTTTGCTTTAATTTTCTTCTTTCCTAGATGATCTGTATTTACGTTTTTATTATTTATTGAGTTTTGGTTTTCTCTTTCAATTGAACGATTGACTTTTAATTTCTTTTTTGAGTTAGTTCGGTTGAGTAAAATCGTTTTCTTCTTTTAATTTCTTTTGTGAAAGATTGACACTTATTTTACATTACAGAATATAATTTTTTACATTTAATTTCAGTCAAAAATTTTGTAGAAATTATTTTCTGGTTTGAATCTGAAATTGCCATAATTGCCATTTTAAAGTGTTTTTATGGTGTTAAGATCAAAATATTAATCCTTTGTAAATCAAAATTGCCATAATTGAAATTGCCATTATTGCCATATTTTCTAAATATAAAAAGATATTTTTGCATTTAGTGTCATTTGTATGACACTATCTCCAAGATGATGGAGATATATGACACTTGGTGATAAATATTTATAATGTCATTAATTGCCAAAATGACAATGAAACTTCTTCTCTTTTAATATGAATGCCATTAAGATGACATTCAAGGGATGAGATGTTGTTCTAAAGCATTTTTAATTTCTAGATCTGAGATGATGGAGTCAAAAGAGACTATGGGATGGAGATGGCGGCGGCGGAAATAGAGATGGCCGGTGGTGACCTTGGAAAGAGGCAGCGGCGGAGATGGTGATGGCAGCGGCGGAGATGGTGATGGCAGCGGCGTCCGGCGACTGCGGAGACCGGCGGCGTCCGGCGACTGCGGAGACCGGCGGCGTCCGGCGACAGTGGAGACCGGTGACGTCTGGAGACAGCGGAGACCGGCGACATCCGGCAACGGTGGAGATTGATGATGTCCAACGACGTCAGAGATTGGCGGAGTCCGACGACAGTTAGGAGCGGCTTGTACTGTCCTGAGTGGTACCAGCAGTAACTTGTGATTGAGGAAGGAAAAATATGTTGTTGACTTGTTGTGTAATATTCCGTACATTAATTAGTTTGTTATTCTATTTTATATTTTTACTAAATAAGTTGGAGCAATCATTAAGGGCATTTTTGTCTCTTACTATTAATTTCCGTATGACAAACTACACTTGAGATAGGAGTCCTACTTTTGCATATTCATTATGTTTTACTCCTAAACAAGGAATTCTCTCAAATAAATTTGATTTTACTGTAGAGTACACTGTTGTAACACTGTCCGCCACTGTTTTGCATTGTTTGATGTAAATAATTCATCAAATAAGGAAGGGAGAAGAAGTGTAAACTTTATTTTGGACCGGCCCAAAAAAGAAAATGTAAACTTTATTTAGGATGAGAGGGAGTATTTACTATTTTTTGTTATGAGAGATCAATGCAAACATGAATTGAATTGTAAGGCAATTTGATTAGTGAAGGGAGTATTTATTTAGATTAGAGGTTTGGCTTGGCTTGGCTTGGCTTTTGAGCCGCGCGTAGTCCAAGTGTGTGGTTGTGAAAATGGCACGTGAGAGGATAAGAAAGCCTATCCGATCCCGTCGTCCATGACAGACCGACCACACATATATACTACGAGTAAAGTAATTGCTTTGCTTTGCTTTGCTTCGAGCATAAATAAATTAAGATCGAGTGACTACATTGAGTCGCTAAGGCGCAGTTAGAATGGCCGGTGTGACCCCAATGGGCGTTTCCATTACCAGCGGTAGCCGCGGGCGCATGATGAGCGGTGAGAGGGAGGGCCGCGGCGGCGCAACATTAGCAGTGAGGATGGGCGGAAAGAGGGCGCGAAAGGTGGTGGTAGCAAAGGCGGGGCTGAGGGAAGTGGTTGGCGGGGCGGCGGTGATAGCGGGTGCGGCGGCGGGGGTATTGATGGGGGGGAGCGGTGCGGCGGAGGCGGCGCAGGTGATACTGGGGGGAGAAGGCGGGGAGCTGGCGTTCATCCCCGGGGAGCTGAGAGTGGGTGCGGGAGAGACGATCGAGTTCAAGAACGGGAAGGCGTTCCCGCACAACGTGGTGTTCGATGAGGAGGAGGTTCCGAGCGGGGTGGATGCTTCCAAGATCTCGATGAGCGAGGAGGATCTGCTGAATGGGCCCGGGGATACGTACAAGGTCACCTTGACGGAGAAGGGCACTTATTCCTACTACTGTTCGCCTCATCAGGGAGCCGGAATGGTTGGCAAGATCATCGTTGAATGAATTGAATTTCAATCCGCCATATATGGTTCCATCTTTTTCCTTGCCTTCTTCTAAATTACTAGTAATATAATGATGTCTCTAGCTAGATTGAAACAATGGCCGGATTATTAAATTTAATACTCCCTCCGTCCCAATTTGATTTGCAAAATTTCCTTTTTTGATTGTCCCAAAATGATTTTCCACTTTCTATTTTAGGTATGTGAATAAGAATAAATCGACAAATTTACCATTATTTTTACTTTTTCCCCGTTAACTTAAAGACATCTACTTTTAGAAAGATGTGCAAAAGTGTAAAAAGCAAGCATCATTTATTGTCATTCCTTATTACTTGTGCCGGTCAAAGTTTGCAATTCAATTCGAGACGGAGAGAATAATTTATTAATAATTCCATCAATTCCTGTATCCATGTTAACTGCAACTCTCTCCTCATCACCTCGCAACCTTCACCACCTAGGGGTACATCCAAAAATTTCCTACTACCTCACAATTGCCCCACTTTTGATCCCCACCCCCCACTCACAAATTTAGTACTACCTCTTCCCCGATAATAATACGATTTTTAAGAAAAGTAGAATTATATGGTTGATAATGAGTTCACAGATGTTACCAAATATAGTACTCTCTCCGTCCCTTAAAGGTTTGCCAAGTTTAACTGGTACGTAGAATAATAAAGTAAAAACTGTGTGGTAGATATTTGTGCAGAGTAGAGAGAAATAACAAGAGCCACAAATTGATTAACTAAAATGAAAAGTATCAAAGTTTTTTGGACAACCAAAAAAGGAAAGTTGACAAAGTTATAAGGGACGGAGGGAGTATGTCACAATAGTAGGGGGAGCGTCGGGCGGGTTCAGGTCGATCGGGTTGGGAAACACAAGACCCTATCGGGTTTCGAACCTGTTATGGATATTTGACCCTAGGTAAAAAAATCAAAAAATCATGTTTTACTCCGTTTGGATATTTTCGGGTTCGGTTCAGATATCGGGTTGTTTCGGATATTTTAAAACCTATAAATTTTAGTTGAAAACCAATCAAGTGCAAAAGTGGATTTTTTTTTAAAGTGGTATACACAAAAATTAGAATGTACTTGACATGTAAATAACTTGATATGTAATGTAACAATGTTATCAAAATTACAGTACAAAAACGATGTAGCATACTAACCTCTAAATAACTAAGTTACCAAGTATTAGCATGACATCATGTACTTGACAATAATACATACATAGTATTACATTGTCCAAAAAGAATATCAAATTCACCAAAACAATATTACATATTTAAGTGTTAAACATCCCGAATAGGCAGAATTATACATCAAAGTTCCACAAGACCACAGCTCCACATTTCCACACATTTACATTTCCACATGAATATAACAAATACAAGTATCAAATTCTACAAATGAATATAACACATTTACATTTCCACATCAAAGTAGTTCATATAACTAAATATTTACATGGACAACAAAATGAGACAAATCAGACAGTAAGAAGTCGCGGGCTCGTAATGCTTATTTTCATTCACACAGAATTTAAGGGCATCTGCTACAATTTCAGTTTCAACATTGAATTGTAATTATGAACTTAAGAGCAATACCAATCCTAAACCATAATTTCAGTAGTGGGTGGAAGGTTCAACATAGCCACTGCGGAATCATATTACAAGTATCAAATTCTACAAATGAACACATGTAGTTCATATAAATAAATATTTACATGGACCACATAATGAGACAAATCAGACAGTCGGATATAAAGAAGATGACTCAAAACTAGACAGTCAGATATAAAGAACAAAATCAATCCTAAACCGTATATCTACAGCAGGAGTGGAAGCTTCATCATAGTCACTGTGAAATCATATAGTTAAATATTTACATGATACACAAAATGAGACAAACCAGACAATCAAATATAAATACGATGGCTCAGAATGCTTATTTTCATTCACACGTGATTTAGGGGCATCTGCTACAATTTCAGTTGCAACATATAAATTGTGAATTGAAAGAGCAATACCAATTCTAAACCATATATCTACAGAATGAGTGGAAGCTTCATCATAGCCATTATGAAATCATAATGCAAGTATCAAATTCTACAAATGAACAAGTAGTTCATATAATTAAATATTTACATGGTACACAGAATGAGACAAATCAGACAGTCAGATATAACGAAGTCCTGGGCTCAGAATGCTTATTTTCATTCACACAGGATTTAGGGGCATATGCTACTATTTCAGTTACAACAGAATCACATAATCATACTCAATCAAATGGACAAAACAGTCAACACGCACATCATATATTAGCTTGACCTGTATTATATAGTTAATGTAAAAAGTAATAATTCAAACAGGAAATGTACACTTAATGAGACAATAGAAGATCCGGTAACAGCAGTACCCACATTTCCATCTGTTAATTCTATAAAAAAAACAAAAACAATTGTTAGAATTTAGAAGTTCAACCAATAAATTAAAAAAGAAATCAACAAATTTGACAATACACAACATTTGTACCTTTCTCCAACCTCTCAACGTCATGAATGTTTTCTTCAACTGAGATAGGTTGGTTAGCCATTCTCAACCAATCTTGTGCAGAAATAAGGGCTTCCACAATTTTTGCACTTAATGAACTTCTAAAATAGTCCAAAACCTTACCGCTTGTACTGAATGTGGACTCATAAGCTACCGTGGAAATGGGAATACCAAGTACATCTCTAGCCATCTTAGAAAGAATAGGAAACCTTTTACTATTTAACTTCCACCGTCTCAATATATCAAAGTCCTTATCTTCCTCAAGTATTGACTCTTCAAGATAGATATCAAGTTCTGTTTTTTTAACTCATAACTGACCGCTCTCTAGTTTCTTTTTTAGCTCAACATTAAATCTCGACACTAACTTGTTCTCAGCATTATCAAATTCCACAGATGCAGCAGAATGTGAATTTGAATTAGAACTTCCACCAAAACAGTCATAGTAAGTTACAACATAATCAACAAATAACTTTGTGAGCTCAGACTTCACTTTGATAAAAAAAACAATGCACCTTTTTGTCATCATATAAAGCATTGAGCTGATATGACATATACTCAAACTTGTCCCTAGGGTCTAACACATTTGTAAAGAAGATCAGTGAGTTCTTTTTTCAGGATCACCCAAGTACTAGTCCAATTTTGATTTCATAGTAGTCCCCAATGCACTGACAAAAGCAATTGGAGAGCCAACCATGTCTTTTAGGATAAGGAACAAGTCAGATATTTCAGAAAAAGGTATTGGCATTAGCATAGAGTGACCCAGAAATCCTAAGAGTCGTTTCATTTTTTTAAAAAATGGTCACAAAAGATTCAACTGTAATCCAGTCTAAAACATCAGGAATGTCAGTATCAAAATCAGTAGCAAGTGCACTTTCATTCTCCTCATAGACTTCAAACACTTTCTCATTAGAAATAGCAGATTTAAGCATCAGGTAAGTGGAATTCCACCTAGTTGGAACATCCAGGTGCAGACCACACTTAGCTTCCACTCCTATCATGGAATCTGTCTTCAAACATCTTGTCCCCACACTCCTCAACAGAATGGTGTTGCTGAACGCAAACATCGCCATCTTCTTGAACTTGTCAGGACTATGCTCATTACAACCTCTAATGCTAGTAATTTTTCGGTTGATGCAATTTTTACAGTTGTCTATATTGTTAACAGACTTCCCTTTCAAACTCTTTCTGGCCATTCACCTTATGAAAAACTTTTTAAAAAAATTCCTAATTATAAATTGTTGCGTGTTTTTGGGTGTGCATGTTATCCATTTTTTTTGCCTCTTCTTCAAATAAACTTTCTCCTCATTTTGTTCAGTGTGTTTTTATTGGACATGCATCTGGTTTTAAAGGTTATCTTTGTAACACCGTCCCCAAGTATATTTACTTTTATGTAAATAATGTATTGAGCCTTGTGAAATGGTTATGAATTTATGAGGTTTTAAATTTGTTTGTTATTACTTTAGCGTGACGAGTAAATTGCACATGGGAACCACACGGGAACGGGGACCACCCGATATTCCCGGGACCACATATTATATTCATCTTGGTCTAGATAATTTGTGTATAGTGGTGGATATTCTAGTTGGGCCATAGAAAAGGCATAGAGTTGATCGGTTGGTCAAACGGGGCCCAAATATCAGTATCAGCATTTCGTCAGATAACAGTCCGTTAAATTAAGGGGACTTCTAAATTAAAGTTGGGGAATGTATATTCATTCTAGAGTCCCATAATAATAAGAAGGATGATGTATATTTTATTTGACCCGGTAAAATAATTATAATTAAAACAAATCAAGAAATACAACTTTTGGGGTCGATTATGCATTTTGGGACACATTGAGATGACCTCCCACGTGAGTGGGGGTCACCCCACGTTTTTATGTGCTCAAATTAATCAAAGGGAGCTGGATACACAATGAAAGTAGTTTAGAAGAGAGGTTTGGAATCTAGAGTACATAGAGGATCCCCTCCCTCACTCATTTGTCTATTGAGACAAAAATGAGCCATCCCCTCTTCCCTCCAACCATTATGCTCGACCAACCACTCAATAAAAGAAAGAGAAGCTCTGAAACATCATCCTCCATAGCTGCAAATTCGAGCTCATGGGAAACAAGGTCCAAGGAAGGAGTTTAAGGAAGGAAAGGGTGAAGAAAAGCTTGAAGGATTAAGGTAATGATCCTATAACAACGTTTTCTCCTTTATTCAAGTATCATATGACTTATATACCATATGAAGGACCCATAGGATTGTTCTACATGTTTAGAGGTGTAGATAGAGGGGTTGGAAATTGGTTCTAAGTCCAAAACAGACTTAAGAGCCAAAATGACCGGTTAGTCGGAAAATAACCTTTTAGAGGTTATTTGTGTTGTTATGGGTTTTGTGATGATAAAACCTTGTTAGTAACTTTTCTAAGGAGTTCCTAGAGCTTTCACGGAGTTGAAAGAGTCGTCGGAGTAATCGCTGGAGTTCAACAAAGTTCGCTGGAGTTTCGCCGGAGTTCAACCGAGAAGAGTAAAACGTATCAAAGCTCATTCGAGGTGAGTGGAAGGCTTAATGTCTTGTAACTTTTGGGTTAAGCATGATATTACCTAAGTAAATGTTATATGCGTTCATAATTATGTTTGAAAAGGTTTAAGCATGTGATTAGCCAAGATGATTCAGTTTATATGAAATGAACCATAAAGTTAAGCATGAAAATGGTATGAAAATGATATAAAACATATATGATGTTTTGAGTGGCCAAAATGGAAAATATTGATTGTTTAAGACTTAATACACATTGTGGTCAAGTTTCATATCAAACGGAGTCGGTTCGGGCAGTCAACGAACCGTTGACCATGAAGGAAGAAGTGAACCGACGCCGGTTAGGGCTTGAACCGGCGCCAGTCCAAGTTAGGCTTTGTCAATTTATTAAAAATAAATTGAACCGGCGCCGGTCAGGGCCTGAATCGGTGCCGGTCCGGCTTCAGTATTCAGGTCCAGTTTTTGCTAAAATTCGTTTCGGGGCCCGGTTCAAGGTAGAACCGACCCCGATCATCCTATATATGAATATTATGCATTGAATTGCATGGAACATGATATTTAAATGTTAAGGCTTGATATTGATGATTAAATGCTAATGCTTGGTTTAGTCGTTAGTAATGATACGATATAGACCCTATCTAGTATGATGTGTGGTAGGTCATACGCCGGGTGGAGTACCCAAGGATCGAGCGTGTATCCTCAAAACTTGGTTAGGTCAGGTGGAGTACCCAAGGATCGAGCGTGTATCCTCAAAACCCGGTTAGGTCGGGTGGAGTACCCAAGGATCGAGTGTGTATCCTCAAAACTCGGTTAATTCGGGTGGAGTACCCAAGGATCTAGCGTGTATCCTCAAAACTCGGTTAGATCGGGTGGAGTATCCAAGGATTGAGCGTGTATCCTCAAAACTCGGTTAAGCCGGGTGTCCCGGGTGGAGTACCCCAGGATCGAGCGTGTATCCTTAAAACTCTGTTAGGTTGGGTGGAGTACCCAAGGATCGAGCGTGTATCCCCAAAACTCGGTTAGGTTGGGTGGAGTACCCAAGGATCGAGCATGTATCCTCAAAACTCGGTTAGGTCGGGTGGATTACTCAAGGATCGAGCGTGTGTCCTCAAAACTCGGTTATGTCGGGTGGAGTACCCAAGGATCGGGCGTGTATCCTCAAAACTCATAAATTATAATTCAGTAATTCAGGACCAAGCGGTGTTCTTATGATAATTGATTTGGACCAGGAGTGCTATACACTCATTGGTATATGGGTGGGTTGAGATTTTAAGTAAGGAACACTGATTACTACTATTTTCCCAAATAAACAATGACCTACGGGTCGGGTATTTCCAAGTATATATATACTGATATGTATTTCAACCTACTGCTCACTCGGTATTCGCGTACTGACCCCTTCGAGGGGCATCATTTCAAGTTGAAGCTAGAGCCTGCTACCTGCACCTTTCAGACGGGTGAAGTCATATTCAAAAAGATGTGGTTCGTGCTTCCTTGTTATCTTTAAAACTAGAAATACTTGCTCATGGATATTTGAATTTTATAAACTATTTTGGGCCTGCGAGCCCGTATTTTGGCAGATGTGGCTCATGACTTACCATTGAATATTTCCGCTATTCATTGGTTTAAATGTGATATTGTTATGTATGTTTACTTACTGAGAATGGTATGAACGATGTTCATGAACGCCTTGTGTGATGAAGTGAGGTTGACTTGCAAGTGACGTCACCTGATCATACGGCGGTTGTACACGCGCTTAGATGTGGTCTAGGGCGTGACAACCGTTGTCTAGAGCCCAAGTCTGGCAAAGTCTTTATTAGTAGACATGTTCGTTTCCATGAAAATATTTTTTATTTTGCCACATTGTCTTCTTCCACGTATGTCAATCCCTCACCTACACCTTCTGCCGACTTTTTCCTCACCAGGACCTCCTTCCCAACGCTTGCTCCTACTGCCCCAATAGCCGACCGACCACCTCTCCTCACCATGGCCGAACCACCTGCTGATACAACAACCGCACAACCTGTTGCCCTCCCAGTTCCCTCTAGTCCCTCACAGTCAGGTTCCCCACCTCCCCGCACCACTCCACAGTCCTCAGTGCGCTGCTACTCAACGCAGTCCGCATGCCTCTCCTGTCCTGCCAACACCACCCTCCATCCTCATTGACGAATCTGTCCCCCCAAAAAAACAGTCCATCCCGACTTCAGTCCACAACCAGTAGTGCCCCTTCCGCTCCCGCGGCCACGTCCGGCCCTCTGGCCAATGTTCATCCCATGCAAACTCGGGCTAAATCGGGCCTTTTTAAACCCAAAATCATTTTTAATTTAAACACATTTGTTTTATCAACAGATCCTACATGTTTTTCAGAGGGCTAATAAAAGTTTAAAATGGCGTGAGGAAATGGCTGAGGAATATAATGCGCTTATCTCTAATAATACATGGGAGTTGGTTCCATTTGACAATACTAAGAATATTGTGGGGTATAAGTGGATTATAAGACTACATATAATTTTGATGGGTCCGTTGAGCGCTATAAAGCTCGTTTGTTTGCCCAGGGATTTAATCGGCATGTTGGTATAGATTTTTCAGAACCTTTCAGTGTGGCAATTAAACCCACCGTTGTTCGTGTTGTTCTTACTCAAACTATTTCTTTTAGTTGGGTTATTCGTCAGTTAGATGTCAAAAATGCTTTTCTTCATCGTCATCTGAGTGAGGAAGTATATATGCGTTAGCCGCGGGGTTTTATTCATCCTTTGTTTCCTTATGGTTTTAAGCAAGCTCTGCGGGCATGGTTCTATCGTTTCAGTAGCTTTTTATTGTCTCACAATTTTACGTGTAGCAAGTCTGATAATTCTCTGTTCATTTATCGTCAGAAAAATTGTGTCATTTATTTATTGCTATATGTGGATGACATTATTATTACTGGAAATTCTCCTTGTGTTGTCACTTCCTTTATTCAACTTGTTGCTCAGCACTTCGCTATGAAGGATCTGGGTGACCTTCATTATTTTCTAGGAGTCAAGGCCGTATGTTCACACAAAGGTTTTTTTCTTTCTCAAAAAAAATATGTGTTTGACCTCCTCCCTCGTTTCCATATACACACTATTAAGTCTATCAATACCCCTCTTGCTACTCACACTTCTATGTCCCTTGCTGATTGGGAGCTCCTTGCAGATGCCACTGAGTATCGTAGTATGGTTGGTGCGTTACAGTATTTAACTTTGACATGCCATGATATTACCTATGATGTGCATTTAGTGTCTTAGTTTATGCATGCTCCCCGTACTACTCTCTTTTTTTTTGCAGTCAAGAGGAATTTCAGGTATTTGTAGGGAACTATAGATCATGGGCTATGGCTTCGTCCTTCTACACAAGCCACATGTGTGATTGCCTACTGTAATGGTGATTGGGCTTGTTGTCCCGATACGTCCCACTCCACGACAGAATTTGTTGTGTTCCTCGGGCCCAACCTTGTCTCTAGGAAGTCCAAGAAGCAACCTACCGTCTCCAAGTCCTCCACTGAAGCAGAATACAGAGCTATTGCATACACCGTCTAGGATACATTACACATTCGTTCCATATTGTTTGAGCTTGGTTTCCCTGTCAAAGCTGATATTCATTTGTTTTGTGATAACATTTCTGCCTCCTACTTGACTGCTAATCCTGTTCAGCATGATTGCAACAAACATATTCAGATTGACTATCATTTTGTCAGAGAGCGTGTGGCTCACAGAGATTTGGTTGCGAAGTATATCCCTACACAGTTACACTTAGCTGATATTTTTACTAAGAGTCTTTATAGTCAACGATTTTATTTTTCACAGTTGTATCTCTTGCACAGTTTGAGGGAGTGTAATATAATATATTTAGGGATTTGTTTCCTAATTGTATTTGAACATGTACTCCCTTATTATACATATACGGGACTCCTGTGAGAGTATCTTTCCGATTATTTAACAATATTAAGAGTTGAGGTTTTTTAAATAGTTTTAATTGTTTTGCCTAGGAACTGAATTCGTCCCTGGCCTAGGCAGATCTGCACCAGTGGAAATCTGTGGCGGCGACGGAGCCATGAAGGTGGATCTGGCGATGGCAGCTGTCCGACAGAGGCAATATATGTGAACAAGCTCTAAAGATAGTTTTGTGGAATCACAAATCATAACTCATATTTTTAAGTTTTTAAACTTTACCTGTATTTAACCTTTACTCCTTATTATTTATTCAGGTAAATGTTCTTTACAAATGTTTTTACTTGGACTGTAATTTGCTGGTCTGCTCTGATCTGGTCTGGTATGGTCTGTACTGGTCTGGTTTCTTTATATTTTTATAACTATCTGATGGATAGTGTACCCGGGGGTAGCTTATCCGAGGGGTTATTACGGAGAATAACGAGAGAGAAGTCAGAGCAGATGAGTATAGAGAGAGGAAGTATATTAGAAAGTGTTCAGCGTTTTTAGCGTGGTTTACAACGGGGAAATGTGGTGCTATTTATAGTAGCAATAAATTCCAGACAGGGACACGTGTCGAGCGTCCATTGGCCGAGAGGTCACTTCAACTGGTTGGCGCTGGCAACCGCATGTGGCCGCATTTAATGCGGCTGTTGGATGGGACGTTGTACAGGGTACGGCGATCCATACGCATGTGGAGCAGATATTATGTCAGAAAAGGTGCCCTCGGCCGTAGATGACTAGCCGAGGGCTCTGAGTACCGGGGACCCCCTTAGTGCCGAGGGCTCCAGTTGCCGAGGGCTACTGATTTTCGCCGTATTCTCCCAGTAACTTTGTTTTCCTGTTTTGACCTTCCTGTGAGAATCAGAGCCTTCGGCCAGGGGGCCGAAGGCACCCCTGGTGCGCATTGTGGGCTGCTTGGTGCCTTGGGCGCCGTGATTTGGGCCTGTTGTGCTTCCTGGGCCTATTGGGCCTTTATTGGAGTAGTACGAGTCTGTGGGCCGGGGGTTCCCGGGCCATATACTCCATCAGGAGTCCCTCACTCCTTTTGCCGAAAGGTACTTGAGGGGAAAGGAGTAATTGTGTTTGTCCTCTGCCGTTGTTCCGTTGTGGTTTTTTTTTGTTTATTCTGCCGAGGGCAGTCCCTCAGTTATCCACATGTCGGGACTTGAGGGGTCATTTTTGTGATTTTTGTGATTTTCCTGAGGGGGTCCTCCAGTCCCCCACTCCTTGAGGCACTTGCAAAGTGGTGAAAAGGAGTATAGTAATCACGTTGCTGTTTTGGGCCGAAGGCTGACGCTTTCGTTTCATTTTGGGGGATGCCTCGTTAAAAACCTCATTAGGAAAAACCCTGTGGGAAAAAATCCTAATGAGGGAAAAAGAGTGCACCGAATTCCCCCAATGATGAATCGAAAACGTGAAGCCCTGGTTCGAAATGGAGTACAATGCTGATGCCGAAGGCTATCGTTGTTCTGAGGGCTCATGTGTTGATTAGCCAGAGGCTTGTTGTTGATATCCTGGGAGGTGCCGAAGGGGAGTCCCTCAATCTGGGGATCGAGGGCGTAATGAATGTGAGTAGTAGTTGAAGTGTTACCATGATGTTTTCTGTTCGTTGATTGGTCGGTGAGGAGGGTATCCGAGGGCTCCCGTTACCTGTGTGTCGTAGACTATCCGTCAATGAGGCGTACTCCCCGGGGGCTACCCGGTCCTCAAAGTGCTGAGGGGGATCCCCGAGGGGTGGCCTGATATGAAGCCGTGGGATTCTGAAGGAGTGAGCCCGAAGGCATTTGTTATGTAGTGTGTGGGGCACAAACCGGGAGCGTCTCTGGGTAAGTGTACCCGGAGGCTCTTCTTGATGAAATGGAGTGAAGTAAAAAGCCCGGGGGCTAGTTTCTTGGTTGACGAAGGAGTGGTCTGTCAAGTGTAGCCGGGAGCTCCCAGAATATAGCCGTTGGAAATATAACCGTTGGAATATCTAACGTCAGAATATAGCCGTTGGGGGGGGGGGGGGGCTTCCACGTGGCGCGCGCTCGTTGGCTGCCCGTGGGTGGGTGTCACCGATTGGGCGAAACCACGGTTTGTAATGATGGCAGTCCAACCGGAGGCCCAGTTTCCAGGCCCAAGCCCGGATCCAAGCGCCTATAAATACCCCATGGCCGGCTTCACTTCCCTTGTGCGATATCATTGTAGCGAAGCTCTGCCCAAATTCCTAGAGAGAGAAACAACCGCCTTCGATCTAACTCCCGTTACAAGGTCAGTTCCTCACTTGTCCTCCACCCTTGTCACCTAGCTGTACTTAGCGGCCTTAGGACTTACACTTAGGAATCTTAGCTTAGAGCACTTAGCATATTTGAGCCCTCGAACTAGCACGGACGATGTCTTCGCAAAGCGATTCTCAAGACATCTCGGGGGCGCCCTCGATGGAGGAGGAAATCATCTCGGACGTGGAGTCAACAAGTGAACAGCCCTCAGCGGGACAAGATGCTGTCGTCGCGATGGAGTTGCAGAAAGCCCTCGTTGCTGAGGTGGAAGCCGAGGGCTTCGAACAAGAGTGTGAAGACGAAGAGCTGGCCCTCGCCTGGCAAGTAGCTGAGGAAGAGGCGCAGAAAGAGGGGGCGAGGGTCACCGTTGCTGTTCTCCCCCCTCGGGGAACTGGTGAGGCTAGCACCTCTCGGCCGCTGAACGCGGTTCCCATCCGGGTGGCCCCCGGAAAAAAGAAGGCGAAGGTTGCTGCTTCCAAGAAGAAGGGCAGCGTCGCAGACTAAGGGAAGCCCCTCGATATGCCCGAGGGGTATTCCTACTTGAATACTGCCGCCCTATAGATAAAGTCGAAAGCTGACAGGGAAGATCTCTATGTCACCCAACTACATGTGGGCCCCTCGGCCGTTGTGGTGGCACCGGGTCCCAATGACGTCCTCTCCCGGGCTCCCGAGGGCTGTATTGCGGTGCACGTCCTGTCCGTGTCGATGGGGCTCCGGTTCCCCCTACACCCCTTCCTTCGGGAATACCTCCGGTTCGTGGGTCTGGTCCCCTGCCAACTGACGCCGAACAGCCACTCCTACATCACGGGCTTCCTCCATCTCTGCAAATCCCAGGGGGTAACGCCTAGCTTGGATCTCTTCTTTCAAAGTTTTAACCTGTGCCGGGGGGCATGCGAATGCCGAGGGCTTCGCGAATTTGCAGCAGGTGGCTTTGTTCAAGCTGTTTACTGAGGCGCCCTCCTCAAACAAGGGGTGGAAGGACCAGTGATGCTTCATAAAGTTGGCCGAGAGCCCCTTCCCGAGGGAACTGCGTGACCGGTTCAGGCGCCATGAAAAGAGGAGGAGCGCCGCCCTCGAGAAAGATGGCAGGATCCTGGCGAAGATCCTGGAGGGCCGAGACAAGAACATAACCATCAAGGAGTGAACCCAAGAGGAGGACCTCTACACCCTCGGGTTCCGGCGGTATCGCTTCCTGGGGGAAACAGATGAAAAGTTCCCGGCATTTGAGGGAGCCTCCGGAGGTAGTCGCTGAGAGCATCCAGTCCTTAGACTTATGTATATTTAGGCCTAGATATATATATATATATTATTTTTTTTGTTGTATCTTTTCTCCTCCGGCTTTAACCGTCTTTATTATTTTTTTTCCAGGTATCAACATGGATCTCAACGCCTTCGCCGCCCTCAAAAAACAGAAGGCCAAGGCCCCGGGCCAGAAGGAGCCCACCAAGCAGAAGCCCCTTGGGGAGTTCTTGAAGAAGGGCAGTGAGCCCTCGGAGGAGGCCGCAAAGAGGAAAGCCGCCGGCAAGGCCCCAATCCCCGAGGGGAAGAGGCAGAAGAAGGGGGATGCCGGGAAGAAGGCTCCCCCAGTGCTGGTGGTGGACGAACACTTCGCTTCCGAGTTCAGTGCCCAAATGGCAACAACTGCTCCTCGTCTGCCCTCGGGCCAAGGGGGTGAGGCAAGCTTGCCCCGGGAGGACATACGGTTCTCCCTGCCGAAGGGGGCCGCCATCACACATGGCACCGTAGACCCCCGGGAGTTTTTCGGCGGGGCTACCCCCGCTCTGGATAGGAGGGCCCTCGGGAAGCTTGATGACGAAGCTCTCGAGTCAAAAATCCTCCGGTCCTCCCTTACTGTAAGTTCTTCTCCTTCTTTTCTTCTTCTCCTTTTTTGCATAGTGGTTTACGATTCTAACTGTTGCGTGATCGTAGCTTACCCACTTACTTTGTTGTTTGTTTTAACATGCCTGCATAGCCCTCGACGAACACGCTAGGAGGTTTGATGAGTTGCGCCTCCAGAAGGCGCAACAGGAGGAGTCCTTCAAAAAGCTTATTCATGATAATGCCGAGGCCATGAGGCAGATGGCTCAGCTGGAGACGGACCTCCAGCAGGCGAGGGCGGAAGGTGAGAAGGCGGCCAAGGAGAAGGCGGAGGTGGAGAAGGCTGCTGCCGAGGCTGCAAAAAGGCCTCCGAAGACGCAGAGGCCGCCAAAGCAGAGGCCGCTGCCGGTGCAGTTGCTGCCTTCATGGCCGAGGGTTGGAAGGCAGAAGGCCATAAGGACTGGGTGGCCTCGGTCGTGGAGGGATCCGCCGACGGGTGGGTGAAGGGCCCCGGGGCGATGTGGCTAGCCCGAAAGGGTGAAGATTATTATGCCGGGGGGAATTCTTCACCCAGGCCTTGATCTACAGAAGGCTTGCACGACACTTGAAGATCGAGCCGGCGGCCTTCGAGCCGGCGGCCTTCGAGCCGGCGGCCTTCGATCCGGCCTCCCCCCCTCCAGCCTGATATCAGAGTCCCCCTTCCCGAGGGCGTTGAAAGGCCGGAATTGGAGGATTCTGAGCTCCTGAAAGAGGCCGAGGGGGATGAAGCAGAGGTTGGCATGGAGGTCATCTCAAAGCCCGCGGAAGAGGGTGCCCCCGGAGCTGAAAATATCTGACCTGTATTTAGTAGCATTTTGAACGTCTTTTTTTTGTATGTAATGGATATCTGTGTACTCTCGGCCTCGGCCATATTGTAATATATACTTTAACTCTTCCATTCTTCTTATGAATGAATACCGGCCTTCGGACTTTTGTGTATAATTCGTTTCCTTCGATTGTTTTTCTTTGAATGTATGCCATCGTTTTTTTTAATGTATGCCTTCGCCTTTTCTGAATGTATGCCTTCGCCCTTCTTTGAATGTATGCCTTCGCCCTTCTTTGAATGTATGCCTTCGCTTTTTCTGAATGTATGCCTTCGCCCTTCTTTGAATGTATGCCTTCGCCCTTCTTTGAATGTATGCCTTCGCCCTTCTTTGAATGTATGCCTTCGCTTTTCTGAATGTATGTTTAGGACTTAGAATATATTCTTCCAAGTGTAGTGCTTCTCGTAGCCCTCGGCCACTAAGCATATTTAGTCAGTTGAACCTTTCACCGAGGGCACAATGTTCAGGACTTAGAAATATTTCTAAGTGTTTGTTCATCTGTTGGCCCCCCGCCGGTTCCTTCCCTCTGGTTCTATGTAGCCTTCATGAGATGACCGGAGGCGAGGCGTTTAGGACTTAGAAAATATCTCTAAGTGTTTGGATATTGTGTAGCCTTCGGTACGTGGATACTCTTCGCTGATTGGATACATGACCGAGGGCCCGGAAATAGTTAGGACTTAGAAACTATTTCTAAGTGTAGTTTTACCAAATCTTCAACCGTGTGACCCCTCGGGCAGCACGGAGATTTGACCGAGGGTCAAAAATATGTAGGACTTGGGAAATTTTTGTAAGTGTGTTTTCATCAAGCCTTTGACTGTGCGGCCCCTCTGGCTGCATGGAGATTTGACCGAGGGTAAAAACTTTTGGGACTTAGAAATTTTTCTAAGTGTAGCATGTATGAAGTAGGAGCCCTCGGGTGAATGTGAGGGCCTTGTCTCAGATATGCCTTCGGTTGGCTGGTGACCCCACAGGGGGCAAAATATTCAGGACTTAGATTATTTTCTCTAAGTATTTCCTGTTGCTGGCCTTCGGGAGGGGACCCTTCGGCTGTACACATTGTAGGGTTAGGATAGTTTCCTTTGCCTTGTAATGTTGGCTTGTGGCAACCAAAAGCCTTCGGTTGTTTGTTATGTCCCCCCAATGTTGGTATAGGGGAATTTGTAATCCAAGTCTAACATAAGAAGGTCAGACTCCCTCGGGAATTGTCTGGATGCCTCCCCTCGGCATGTAGTGAGGTGCTGGGGGTGATTCTCAATTTGGTTTGGCCACATCTGATATCTTTGTCATATAGTACCCTTCGGGGATGTTTTGAGTTGTCGTTGGTGTAGCCGGAGGCAATCATTGAGTGGACTTAGTCATTTGTTGATGATGTCTGTCGTGAATGGTATCCTTTGTGCTCATGAGCTTCCAGGTACCGAAGGCGTTCCCATGGGGATCCCTCGGTATGTTTTCGTGAATTGTAGAAGTGATGTACTCATTGATTTCTCGCCGAGTCTACTCCCCTTCACCACCCCATTTTTTTTTAGGTAGTGGAGGGAAGGCTTCAAGAAACTTGGTTTCTTGGTAAGGCTTGGCCTGTCGGGAGGTAACAGAATACACCATTAGCTCCCCCCTCGGGTTAACCTTCCGAGTTCCGAGGGGATCGAGGGTCGTTTCCTGGGTACAAGATATGGTGGTTTGTAGCCTGCCTCCCCTTGGGGGATGGCACGGAAAGCGCCTCAGTTTTGAAAGTCGTCCCCTCGGCGCTAGACATAGTCCGTGGCCTGCCACACCCTTGGGGTGGTGGCGCGGGGAGCGTTACGGTTTGGAAGTCGAATCCTGGGCATTTCTCGTGCCTGTCATACCCTTCGGGTGATGACGCGGAAAGCGTTCCGTTTTTGAAAATCGAATCCTGGGCATTTCTCGTGCGTGTCATACCCTTGGGGTGATGACGCGGAAAGCGTTTCAGGGAAGGGTTTTCATTTGCACACTGGTTGCAAATGGCCGGGGGCACTACGTGCTGCCGGCACCGAAAGGTGGCGCCTTCGGTATAGGCGTCCTCGAGGGGTACGGCTTAGAAACAACACTTGGTGTTTGTTCCGATTTACGGCCCCCGGTACTTGGTACTGAGGGGTCTTCTGTGAAAACACTTGGTGTTTTTCCTTCATTTGTCGTAGGGGATTGTGGTGTCTACCCTCGGTACTTGGTACCGAGGGGGCTTCTGTGGAAACACTTGGTGCTTCTTCCCATTTGTTGAAGGTGATTGTGGTGTGTCCCCCCGGCACCAGGTGCCGAGGGGTCTCCTTTGAGGACATGTGGTACTTTGTTGTAGGTGATAGTATCGTTTACCCTCGGCACTTGGTGCTGAGGGTTCTTCCATTGTGGTAAGGCCTTGGGCCTGGGGTGATATGAGGGCTTGGCCCTTGTAATAATCTTGTTCCATGTTCTCGGTGTCTTCGAAATGTCTTCGTTCTTCAGAATTTTTAGGCCTTGGGCCGTAAAATAATACATTCACAAGTTTATGAGGGCTTGGCCGTTCTGGTGTTTATTTATAAAATTTAACTAAGTGATGTACATTCCAGTGCCTAGGGACTTCAGTCCCATTAGGGCGTTTTAGTTTGTAAGTTCCCGGTTTGATGATGGCTGCCACGATGTAGGGGCCTTCGAACTTTTGTGCCATCTTTCCGCCCTCGGTTGGTTGGCTAGCTTCCCTTCTTCGAAGGACGTAGTCCCCTACTTGGAATTCCCGGGAGCGAACCTTGGCGTCAATGTAACTCTTCACCTGCCTTCGGTAGTTCTCTGCGCGCATGAAGGCCTGCTCTCGGTGTTCCGAAATAAGGTGGAGGTCGAGGGCCATATTGGCGTCATTGGCCTATGGGTCATACTGTGTGACCCTTCGGGTTGGAAGAGTTACCTCGGTGGGGGCCTTGGCTTCAAATCCGTAGCAAAGGGAGAAGGATGTCTCCCCAGTTGCCCGCCGAGGGGTGGTACGGTAGGCCCATAAGATGTTGTGGAGCTCTTCTACCCAACCGCCCCCTTCGGCCTCCAGCTTCTTCTTTAGGCCCTCGAGCAAGGTCCTGTTGGCGTTCTCCACTTGACCGTTGCCCTGAGGGTAGGCAACGGACAAGAAGGTGTGTTTGATGCCTCATGCCTCTAGGAGGGCACAGAAGAGAAGGGGGCTGCCTCGAACTGAGTCCCGTTGTCGGAGATGATCTGCTGAGGGACGCCAAATCTTGTGAGGATGTTTTTAAGAACAAAGTGACGGCACCTGGCCTCAATAATGCTGGCGAGGGGCTCAGCTTCCACCCATTTGGTGAAGTAATCGATGGCGACGATGATGTACCTGTTGTTGGAGGTACCCCTCGGCAGAGGGCCCACAAGGTCTATGCCCCATCGAGCGAAGGGTATGGATGTGCTGATGGGGCCATAGTTGACCGCTGGCCTGTCGGGGGCTTTCTGGAAGTGTTGGCATGCGGGACACCTCCGGGCAAGATCTGCACAATCCCGGGCCATCGTAGGCCAGAAGTAGCCCTGGATTACTAGCCTTCGGGACATGGAGAAGGGCCCCTGGTGAGCTGAGCAAGTGCCACTGTGCACCTCCTCCATCGCTACTTCGGCTTCATCTTGATGAAGGCACCGAAGTAATGTCCCGTTGTAGGACCTTTTGTAGAGCCTTCCGTCCTCAATAGCGTAGCTGGGAGCCCTTAGCTTTGCCAGCTTGGCGTGGGCCTCATCCTCGGGCAGTTGCCCTGTGGTGATGAAGGCAACAATGTCCGAGATCCAGTCCTCCTGTCTTTGTTGTATATTCATGACGGGGCTAGCATGTATGCTAGAGAGGCTGAGTTCTTCCACTTTGGCAATCTTCGAGATATGCTCAGGGGATTCTGCCGAGAGCTTTGATAAAATGTCGGCCTCGGAGTTTTGAGCCCTCGGTATTTGAGTAAGAGAGTGTGCCTCAAATACCTTAAGCAACTCCTTGGCCGCCTCCTTGTATTGCTTCATTCTCCCTTCCTTAGCTTCGTACTCCCCGAAGATTTGGCCGACGACTAACTTGGAGTCGCACTTGACGTGGATTTGTCGGGCCTTCATGTTAGCTGCCAGCCGAAGGCCACAGAGGAGGGCCTCGTATTCGGCTTCATTGTTGGAGACTTTGAAGGAGAAACGAACTGCATAATAGGCCCGGAAGCCCTCGGGTGAGATGAGAACCACCCCTCCCCCACATGCTTTGACTGCGGAGGAGCCGTCGGTGTAGAGGGTCCACCAATCATCTGAAGGGGCCGAGGGCTCCTCGTCCGTGGCTGATCTTGCCGTACATTCCGTCACGAAGTCCGCTAGGGCTTGGCCCTTGATGGCGGGCCTAGGACGGATGTCGATGTTGTATTGGCTCAAGAAGACAGCCCATTTTACCATCCGGGAGGAGCTAGTGGGGCTCCTCATCAAGGCGCCGAGGGGTTGGTGAGTGAGGACCTGGACCGGGTGAGCTTGGAAGTAATGGCCCAACTTCTTGACGGTCCACACGATAGCCAACACCGTTTTTTCCACAGGGGAGTACCGGAGTTCTGCTTCCCTGAGGGTCTTGCTAACATAGAAAATGGCATGTTGGATGTCATCCTCTTCCCGGATGAGTACTGAGCTGATGGCTGCCTGGCTAACACCCAAGTAAAGGTACAGGGTCTCCCCCACCTTGGGTTTAGAGAGCACAGGGGGGCGAAGATAGGTACCGTTTCAGTTCCTCGAAGGCCTCCTGACATTCTGAAGTCCATTGGAAACCGACGGTTTTCCTCATGATATGGAAGAAGGGTAACGACTTCTCCGCTGATTTTGATAGGAAGCGGTTGAGGGCTGCCAGGCGGCCCGTCAACCGTTGGACCTCCTTTACGTTGCGTGGGGGCTTCATGTTGATGATGGCCTAGATTTTCTCGGGGTTGGCCTCGATACCCCTTCGTCTCACCATGTAGCCCAAGAATTTGCCCCCCTGGACGCCGAAGGTACACTTCTTTGGGTTCAGCCGAAGGCTAAACTTCTGCATGATGGCGAAGATTTCCCTAAGGTCGTCAGCATGGCTTGCTGACTGCTTGCTCTTGACGATCATGTCGTCAACATATGCCTCCATGGTACGCCCTAGGACAGCTTGGAATACCCTGGCCACCATCCGAGTGTATGTGGCGCCTTAGTTTTTTAGGCCGAAGGCCATGACCAGGTAGCAGAAGATGCCCTCGGGAGTCATGAAGGCTGTTTTTTCAGTGTCTTCCTCATGCATGTATATTTAATGATATCCGCGGAATGCGTCGAGGAATGACATGATTTCACACCCCGCGGTTTCATCCACAAGTTGATCAATATTTGGCAAAGGAAAAGGGTCCATGGGACACACCTTGTTGAGATCCGTGTAGTCCACGCACATGCAGAATGAGGGTGGTTTCTGTGCGAGGACTACGTTTGCCAGCCATGAGGGGTATTTTACCTCCTTGATGTGCGTGATAGAGAGGATCATGGCGACCTCCTTCTTCACAAATTCCCTCCTCTCGGCCGAGAGGGGTCTCCTCCGCTGCTGTGCTGGTTTGGCCGAAGGGTCCACCGAGAGGCGGTGGGTGATGACCCTTCGGCTGATCCCCAACATGTCCTCCAGCCCCCATGCAAAAACAATGGAGTAGGCGCGGAGGGCGCTGATGATGCCGGTCTTCAGGTCTTCGGGAAGCTTGGCTCCAATCTTCATGACTCTCTCCGGCTTGGCCGGATCGAGCGCGAAGTCTTCTACCTCCTCGGCTGGTTCATCCCTCGGCCTCCTTTCTTCCGCTTCCACAGTTCCGGTGATGGTGTCAACGCGGAACTCCGTCTTGCTAACCTTCTTTGTAACTTGAAGGTAGCAAGCGCGGGCAAGCTTTTGGTTCCCCCTTGAGTAACCGATTCCCCCCTCGGCTGGGAACTTGAGGCAGAGGTACCTCATGGAGATGACGGCTTCGAGATCCTCGAGGGCTGGGCGGCCGAGGATGATGTTGTGGGCGCAGTCGATGTTGACGACGACGAACTCCACTTCGATCTTGGCTTTATGGAGGCCGTCGCCGAAGATTACCGGGAGGGTTATGACCCCCTCGGAATCGATGTTGTCGCCGGTGAAACCGGCAAGAGGGGTCTTGATGGGCCGAAGGGACCCCCTCTCCAGGTGCAGCTCTCTGAAGGTGCTGAGGTACATTACATTGACGGAGCTGCCCGTGTCAATGTAAGTTCTGTGAATAATGGTGTCATTGATTTCTGTGCGGATGACGAGGGCATCCCTGTGTGGGGAGGATACTGGGGGGAGATCAGCGTTAGTGAAGATAATGGGTTCCTCTCTCAGCCGCTTTACTGGGGGCATATGAGTGACTTCCCCCACGTAAAGTGATTGAGCCCACTTCTTTCGTTGACTCGTAGAATCACCTCCGGTATTCCCCCCGTGATCATGAGGATGTGGCGTTTCTTTTCTTGGTACCGGGGGTACTCCTCTTCCTCTTCCTCCAGATTTCCAATCTCCCTCTTCTTGCCGAGGGGGATGGTGTTGGGGTTGACCCATGCATTTGCTCTCGCAGTCTGCCCTCGGGTTGGCCCTTGGTGAGGGGGGCCTTGTTGCTGAGGGTTCTGGATAAACTGGGACAGATGGCCCGCTTGTATCAATCTTTCGATGGCCGTCTTCAGCTGATGGCAGTCATCGGTCCTGTGCCCCTGGTGTCGGTGGAAGTGACAGTAGGGGTAGTTCGGATTGATGGCAAATACCTTCGGGGGTGCGCGTGAATCTCGCTCCACCAGGCCCCTCTCCTCAGCAAAATCAAGAATAACGCTGACGGGGTGCGTCAATGGTGTCCGAGGGTGCTCCAGGAGGACAGGTTGTGCCCAAGCCCTCGGGTTCCCCTTGTAGCCTCCCCCGGGCTTGGCTTGGCCATGCCGGGGGCGATCACCGGAGGGGGCAGAATCCTTGGGATGATTGCGGGGAGCCCCCGGCCCCCGGTTACCTTTGTCGTCTGGCCGAGGGCGTTGCTGATCTGGGACATGGTGGCATTTCTCCACCTCCTCGGCCTCGGCGTACCGGTCCCCCCGCTGTAGGGCCCTTATATAATCGCGGGGGGGGGGGGGGGTTCGATGATGAGGCTCCTTTAGAAGTTCCCGGGGCGGAGTACTGTTTGTAGGAGGGCCAGGAGGGTCCCGTCATAAGCGCCATCAACTTTATCAGCCTCCGTCCTCCAGCGCTCCAGGAAGTCCTGAAGGTTCTCCTCCTTCTTCTGCCTCACTGTTAGCAAGTGGGAGAAGTGTTTTCTTGTACGGCACCTCCCCGCAAATTGCGTCAGGAATCGCTGGGCGAGTTCTTGCCATGAGTCAATGCAGCCCTCGGGCAATCGATTGAACCATTCGTAAGCTGGCCCCTCTAGGGTGGAGAGGAACCAGCGGCAAAAATATTCATCTGATGCCCCCACCATCATCATGCTGTTTTGATACCTGCTGTAGTGCTCTTGGGGTCAGTCTTTCCGTCGTAGGGCTTGATGAGCTGCCCTCGGTATTTTTCCGGGATCCGGGCCGCCAATACCCTTGGGGTAAATGGCGTCCAGGTCCGGAGCTGTATGGTGGGTTGCCTGGATCCCTCGGCTATCTTCTTATGCATTTCTTCCATCTTGGCCATAATCGCCTCATACTTGAGGTTTGTATGAGGGACAGAAGTGGTGGTGTGGGCTTTGGTGGCCTCCATCTCGTCAAGCCGGCGCTGGAGGGCCGCAATGATTTCGTCCCGGGGGTCCTTCGGGAGGGCCTCCGCCCCCTGCGAATGGACCCAGGCCGAGTGGGCCTGGTTGATTTGGTGGCGTGCGTCGTCGGCATGGAGAGGTGCCTTGCCTTTGTCCTGAGGGGGACGCCTTTCATTGGCCCTGGAGACGGACCCGCAACTTTCCTGAGGCCTCTGGAACGCCTTCCCCCTGAGGCGGTCTTGGACCCCTCGGCGGTCTTGCGCCCCTCCGAGTCTCTCACGGGCGGAGGTCCGGAGCTGTTCTTTGTTCACGTTGTGGCGGTCCCGGGACTGGACTTCCTGGGAGGCCGTATCTTGGGCCACGACCCCCTCGGAGTTCCCCATCCGGAGGACCAGGTTACCGAGGGGTCGTGGATGAGGGGGAGGCATAATATTCTCCCCCACCTGAGGTTGGAGGGGAACCAAAGTGCCGAAGGCACCCGGGTTCTGGGTGAGCGTCTGGATGAAGGCGGAGAGCGCCGATTGCACGTCGATTGTGATGACCGGAGGGCTAATTTGATTCTCGCTCCGGCCCTTCTTCTTGGCCTCGATGCCAAGGCGGGCATCGGGGGCATTTTGTTGAATCTGTTGGCGTAGGTCGACAGCCGTCTGGTCCAACCCGGCCATGACGCCGCCCCCGGGAGCCCTGTTAGAGGCTTCGGGGACGTCGACCTCGCTGAGGGCCAGGTTCCTATCCTCTACATTCTTGGAATTGGCACAAGTTGTTCTCACCATTTTAGCTGGGTGTTTTGTGTTTGGTCGAGGGGGAGGGTTTCTTACTTGATTGTTCGACCTCTCAATGAGAGCACCAAATGATGGATAGTGTACCCGGGGGGTAGCTTATCCGAGGGGTTATTACGGAGAATAACTAGAGAGAAGTCAGAGCAGATGAGTATAGAGAGAGGAAGTATATTAGAAAGTGTTCAGCGTTTTTAGCGTGGTTTACAACGGGGAAATGGGATGCTATTTATAGTAGCAATAAATGCCAGACATGGACACATGTCGAGCGTCCATTGGCCGAGAGGTCACTTCAACTGGTTGGCGCTGGCAACCGCATGTGGCCGCATTTAATGCGGTTGTTGGATGGGACGTTGTACAGGGTACGACGATCCATACGCATGTGGAGCGGATATTATGTCGGAAAAGGTGCCCTCGGCCGTAGATGACTAGTCGAGGGCTCTGAGTACCGGGGACCCCCTTAGTGCCGAGGGCTCCAGTTGCCGAGGGCTACTGATTTTCGCCGTTTTCTCCCAGTAACTTTATTTTCCTGTTTTGACCTTCCTGTGAGAATTAGAGCCTTCGTCCAGGGGGCCGAAGGCACCCCTGGTGCGCATTGTGGGCTGCTTGGTGCCTTGGGCGCTGTGATTTAGGCTTGTTGTGCTTCCTGGGCCTATTGGGCCTTTATTGGAGTAGTAGGAGTCTGTGGGCCGGGGGTTCCCGGGTCATATATACTCCATCACTATCCAAGTCTGGTCTGATCTGGTCTGAACTGGTCTGAACTGGTCTGATCTGGTCAAAAGTAAAAACATCCGTAACTTTCATATTTTAGAGCAACAATAGTATTGACATTCTAGGTTTTCTTGTGCGTGTCCGCCTGAATCTCTATCTCAATCCCAGAACTAGTCTTTCGAATTTATGAGACCTTCAGACAACGTTTGAAACACACTGGGATTCTTATAACGTCCCATACTATTCTAAATTTTGGTGTTGAGAATCCATTATAATGATTCTCTCTTTTCTCCTCCGACTCACTTCATCGTCTCCGGTGAACGTGCTTGCTTCAACAAACCTCCGCGCTTTCGGTCCAGGTCTAAATCCTTTCGCTCCCTATAACCTAGCCAATCATTCATGCTCTCGCTAAGCCACCTTTCTTCTTCCAATCAACGTTGCTTTATTGCTTTTTTTCTTTCCTTCGTTTGATCATGTAATTGAATGATAATCAACACTCTTGTTTTTCTTCTTCTGTTTCTGGTCTGGTCTTGTCGGAAAAACTTTTCTTCCCAAGCTGAAGGAATTCATAGGTTTCTGCTGGGTTTCAGTTGAAACCAAAGTCTTCCCCTTTCATAGATTCCATCAGTTATATTAAACCAAACTCAAGAAAAGGTAGCAATTTCTTTTACCCCTGCTCTAAACAACAAAATAGTTTTGTTCTTGAACAGTTGATCCCAGTCTTCAGATTACTTTCAGTAGACTATGCTCGCAGACCAGTTAGGTTTGAGCAGGCGGTCTAAAAGGTTGCTTATGACTGCTAGCAATAGAGATGACAGAGGATGGACTCCACTACATATTGTTGCTCTGAAAGGTGACCTTAAAGAGGTATCATTCGTTTTTCTCCCGCACAAGTACGATAGTATATACGAAGTATCAATTTTTTAGTCTTATTCTTATTGAATTTTAGTCAATATTTACTTGTAAATATGAAAGTATTGGGATATATCTGGCCATCTGCAACAACAACAACATCCAAGCCTTAGTCCCAAAAGATATCGGAGTCGACTAACATGAATCCATACATGATATCATTACCAAAAGAAAAAGAAAGAAAATAAAGATAAAAAAGATAAGCTATGATAAAAAGATAATATAAAAAGAGATGAATATACATAAAAATGAAAAAATAAAAAGGATACAAATAATGCTTATATATATAAGAATAAAAACAAGGAAAAAAGATGAGGGGAAAACAAGGAAAAAAGATGAGGGGAAAAGATGATACGAGATCACTCCTCCACACGAATACCCGCCCTCCACTTAGCTCTCTCCAAAGTCATGCCCTCATTCCAACCCCAGAAAAAGCATATCACTTTGAACTCCTAACCCACGTTTGTTTGGGTCTTCCTCTCCCTCTCTTTCCTGCCTCTTCTCCACACATCTCAACTCGTCTGACAGGTGCATCACTCGGTCTTCTACGCACATGACCAAACCACTGTAGGCGCGACTCTCGCATCTTGTCTTCAATAGGTGCTACTCTCACCATTTGTCTAATTGTCTCATTCCTCACGTGGTCCTTCCTAGTATGCCCACACATCGAACGCAGCATGCACATCTCTGTCACACTCATCTTTTGAATGTGACATTGTTTCAACGCCCAACACTCTACGCCATACAGTAATGCAGGCCTAATTGTTGTCATATAAAATTTACCCTTCAGTCTAGTCGGCATACCTCGGTCGCATAGAAATCCTGACGCACTCTTCCACATCATCCACCCCGTTCTGATTCTATGAGATACATCTCCATCTAACTCACCGTCCTTCTGAATTATGGAGCCCAAGTAATGGAACATATCACTGACTGGTATCTCCTTACCATCCAGAGTAATTCCGCTATTACCACTGCTTCTACCTCCACCAAACTTGCACTCCATGTACTCTGTCTTGCTCTGACTTAGTTTGAAACCCTTATTCTCCAATGTTTGTCGCCATACTTCCAACTTTGCTTTAACACCTGATTACGTCTCATCAATCAATACAATATCATCGTCAAACATCATGCACCACGGTATATCTGGCTATATGCATTTTCCTAAATATATTAGGTAACGATGATACCAAAAAGACCCTCGTAATACAGTAATCATGGTGTTTTTCGTTCAAAATACTGTATACAAACTCACCTATCTATAAGATGGGGTAGGGAATTTCCCCCCAACTTTGTATAGCCGTAGAGAAGAAACAAGATGTTAAGCCTTTAAAGTTTTGTTTTTTCTGACGGGTTATGCTTAGCTCTTAATGAGTAGCACATATAACCATGTATGCCCTGTGATCTTAGTATTAAAAGGCGCAAGGCGGTATGAGTCGTTTTTGGTAAATATAGCTGAGGTGCGCCTCACCTAACATAGGCCTACAACATTGCTAAAAAACTTATACTACCTGTGCATGATGTTTATACTACTTAATCCATGGTATCATGTACCCAAAAATAATGATGAAAATACCACAAGGCATTAAACATCAATAATAAAAGTCAAAAGCCATGTTGGAGCTGACCCCAAAATCCTTTGGGAATAAGGCTTGGATGTTGTTGTTGTAGCCATGTTGGAGCCATATTAACAAATGGTGAATAGATGTTGCGTTTAACTTTTTCTATTGTGTCTAAGTGTGAATGATCTACTTAGATGCTGCATTTATCGTTGTTCTATTTGCTAATTAGCTGTCATCTGGAAACAGTCTCTCCCTGTTTTAGTACAGGGGTAAGACTACGTACATCCGACCCCCTTACCCCACCGTAGGTGGGAGCCTTTGCGGCACTAGGGTAAATGAAAATGAATGAATATACAGTATTATGTCCATAGCCTTAAAAACAGTAACACATTGTTAGGCATACGAGTCTTACAGACATAGTCTTACATAAACCTAAAGCATTACTGAACAGGCATGTAAACATTGTTATATACACAAACTATAATCATTAAAAGCTGTTAAAAGATCTGAAGAGCAGAAGCATCGAAAGTATGAAACTGTTATAATGGTCTGTCACTCTGTGATGGGAGCAGAAAAGCAAGAGGCAAGATAGAAAGAGATTAGAGAAGAAGTGCATGCGGCTAAGCAGAATGAAGCACAAGGAAAATAGAAAGAGATTAAGAGAAGAAGAAGAGGAGAATGGAAATAACTTACAGTAAATACTGAGAGCAAGTATGTGACTTTATGAAGAGATGAGGACCTCAAGAGTTTGATTTTGTGACATAGGAGAGTTAGAATCATTATGGAGTCTAGGAAATACACAACTAATAAGTCTAGATCCATATAGGTATAATACTGTATACAACAACATCCATATCTTAGTCGCAAAAGAGTTTGAGGTCGGTTAACAACTTAACATGAATCGACGCATGAAATCAGAGCAACAAAGATAAAAAATACAAAAAGTGATAAAAATGTAAGATAAGATAAATAAAAGATGGGATATATAAAAATAAAAAAGATAAGATAAAAGGTAAAAATGATAAGCTAAAAAAAGATTAAAAAAAGAATATACGAAAGAAAAAAAAATAAAAAGATGAAATGAGATCAATCCTCCACCAGAATATTCTTCCCCCACTTGCTCTCCAAAGTCATACTCATAATTCTCATCCAATCCAAGAAGTAGCATATCACTCATTACTCCTCTAATCCATGTTTGTTACTCTGTTTGAGTTTATTTCTGCCTCTCACCGCCTCTTCTATGCACATGGCTAAACCACCGCAATCAAGAATTTCACATCTTATCTTCAATAGGTGCTACTTTCCCTTTTTATATGATTGTCTCATTCCTCAGTTGGCCATTTCTAGTATGTCCACACATCAAACACAACATGCTCATCTAAGTCACACTCATCTTTTGAATGTGGCATTGTCACACCGCCGAACACTCTACGCAGTCCGATAAAACTTACCCTCCAATCTAGTCGCGGCATACCCTGAAAACATACAAATGTTGATGCTCTCTTTCATTTCATCCACCATGTTCTGATTCTATGAGACACATCATACATCTTCATCTAGTTCATCGTCCTTTTGAATTATGGATCCCAAGAAACAGAACATATCACTGATTGAGATCTTCTTATAGTAATTGATATAAATAGAAATAAAACATTAGGATAGTTCCATAATAGGAGTTCTTTAATTTATTCCCTAAATAAGAGTAATTTAGTTGGTCTTCCTATTATGCCCTCTCCCCTAATCGTGTCTACCAAGTTCGATCCAATTTTTCTTCTCTCTCATCTCCCCTCTTCCATCTCCCATCTCCCTTCTTGCATTTGTCATCCATCGGTAAATCCATACCTTCTTCAATTGTTATACTGTGGGAGAAGCCCATAGTGAGCATCGTACTCTCATAGCTAAAACACGTGTGAACAGTAACGCACTTGAACAATAATTTTTTGTTTATTTTAGTAGTAGGGTGATGTAACTCGCATTTAAAATAATGTAACTCACGTCGATGATAAATGTAATTGGAGGCAAGTCAAAGTGTAAATTGTCTAATACGGAGTATAAGGAATAAAACATTAATTCAATATAAACAATGGAACAAAGGAGTCTAATTGCCCAATTATTTTACGTAAATAGTGAATATGTTTTGTTTTTCGATATTAGGGCTATATAAATTTATTTTTATAAAAATAAATCATACTTTTGTATCTTAAACACTTGGGAGCAATGATTTTTTCTTTCAATAACAGAAGTTTATTTTGTGATGTAACTCGTGATATGGCAAATGTAACTCTGGTTGATGGAAAATGTAATTCGCATGTTTGCAAAATGTAACTTGTTGAGACATCTAAATGTAACTCACACATATGAAAGTATAACTCGCACACATGAATATGTAAATCGCACATAAAAAATGTAACTCGCGCATAAGAAGATGTAAACCGTGTATAAGAAGATGCAACTCCATGTATTATCAAATGTAACTTCAGACATATAAAAATGTAATCTCATGTTTTATCATATATATATATATATATATTATAATAGTACTCCCTCTGTTCCGTTGAAAGGTTCTCACTTTCCTTATTTGTGTGTCTCATATAAAGGTTCTCATTCCATTTAGGAAATAGTTTACTCTCTTTAATTACACCTTTACTCAACTTTTTCTTTCCTACTCATTACATGTCAAGTCTCACAATTTCTCCTCCCCCAACTTATCTCCCTTTAATGACTTTCACTTTATATGTTTATTTTTTCTAAATTTTCTCTTTATTCTCTTTTTTACCCAACAACATCCAAGCCTTAATCCCAAAAGAATTTGGGGTCGGCTTACATGAATCGATCTATGATATCGATGCCAAAAAGAGAAGGCGGACAAGAAAAGGAAAAAAAAAGTAAGATAAAATGAATAAAATAAAGATGCATAAATATTTACCCATATTACTTTATTTAATCACTTGACTAAAAAATCGTGTCGTTTACCCACGGGAACCTTCCAACAGATCGGAGGGAGTAACTAACAATTTATGGTGTAGTTCATTTGTAATGGACAATTTTTGGTGTAGCTCACCAAAAATGATGTAAATTTATTGATTTGTGTCGGGGTCATCACAAGAGGACAAGCCCTTGACAGAGCCTTATAGGGGCTGTTTACTTGTGACTTAATGGACTTAATGGACTTAATGAGAAGGCAATTTAATCCTTCAGTCATTAAGTCACGTTTAGTTACGACTTAATTGAAAACACGACTTATTCATTCAATAAAAAAACCGACTTAATCATTAAGCTGTGAAATGACACTCTTTCCCATTAAGACGCTCATTGAGACGTTTGTTCAGTCAGTTTCTTATACCTAATATGGAATAGATATATGTTAATAAATGAGATTATTCATTGTCAATATAACTTAATAATAATATTAAATCGATTAATTTACTCTATTTAGATGGTTTATTCAGCACACAAAATAAATAGCTTCATATACAAACATCACTTAATCCAGACATACTTCTTAATACAGACAGACGTCTTAATTCTGACCGGACTTGATAGAAAAAACTAAGCATCACTTAAGTGTTCGATCAATTTTGCTCTCTGATAACCCAACCGATAGTCACGCGCCACAATACATCTACTCCATTTGTAGTCTTCTCACTTCGCGGATATCAGAATTTCAAACCTCCAGGATGCCTTCTCTCCAACTCACTTAGTGTTTGCACTCACATAATCTCGATATTCCTTCTCATCATAACATTGACTACCTCAGATGATCTTTTCGAAGAGACCCAATGTTCCATGTCACAAAGCACAATCTAGAATTCTACCCTCTATTCTTATCACCACGACCCCAGCATGCCCTTGCATATTGATACCATCCTCGAGGATTGAGGTACCGTGTTGCTTTCGGGCGATGACTAAGCAATCTTAGCGCTCTTATCACCATACCTAGGCCTATGAAGTGTAACGCGTCGCTTCAGGGCAACAATCTAGCAATTTTAGCATTTTTATCATTACACCTAGGATTATGAAGTGTAGGGCGCCCTTGCATATTCGATATTATCCCCAGGTGGAGGGACAACACGTCCTTCTGGGCGATGATCCAGCTATAGAGATATTCATATTTTGATTCATTTCATGTGATGTGACTAAGTGCCACTTACCACAACACCCCACTCTTTTATCCTAGCTTGGAGTAGACATGGTATCAAAAAGTTGTTCTGGTGGCGGAGTTTTTTTCTGCAGAAGTGTCATGGCGGAGTTGTATAGGTATATTGTGTACAAATCGTCAAAACCTAAGAAACCTAAGAGGCGATTAAGTCTGCTGCTTCCTATTGCCTGAAAAGGCAGACAGAAGCTATGGGTGTACGCATGCCTGTTGGAATCTGTTTCGATTTTTATTATAATCTATCTGCTGCTTGTGCCAAGTTGTGCATCGGCGTTGTGACGGTCGCACATCAGACTTGCTTTTTATTACTGAACTTGTGATAAGTGTATGTGGTTCTATCACATGAACAATATAATATGGAGCCATGGAGGAATAATGTGATTGGAGGTTATTTCAGTTATTTTTATTCTCACTCACTTTAAATCAATTGACAGTTCAAAGGTGCATGCGTAATCAGACCTTGCAAATGACCCTTCTGTCCATATAAAGTTAATATTAAATGCATCTCATTTCTTTTCAAGGCACCAATGCATTTTTATGCAGAAATAGTTAGTACAAGTTGCTTGGGATAACTACAGAGTACAAGTTGTGCATTTAATTCTTAAAATGACAACCCTTTCACGAGTTTTTGGCAAAATTTGCAATTAATTTTGGATTCAGAATTGCAAGTTGCTTGGTGTGATGTTTTCTTCAGGTGAGGCGACTTCTTGATGAAGGCATTGACGCAAATGTGGCTGCGTGGGGTCCAAAAGCACCGGGTGTGACACCTCTTCATCTTGCTGCTAAGGGTGGTCATGTCAAAGTTATGGACAAATTGCTTGAGCATGGTGCTGACATTGATGCTCGGACCAAAGGAGCTAGCGGTGGATGTAAGTGTTGTTACTTGAGTAAAAACTCGTACCACATTTTTCATGTAGGTTAATTGATCTCATGTGTGCGTTTCTTCCTTCCTTCAAAAGATGTAGCAAGCTCGTCCCATTTTCTAAGGTCTCTTTGGAATGCGGAGAAGTACTACAGAAAGAAAATAGGGAGGGAAAAGGAGATAATTTGGAAGGAAAAACATTTAATTTATACTGTATTCTAAATAGTGTTCCCGTTTTGTGTGTGACTAATAAAATCAGTCATATTTCCTTATTTGGTAAAAGTAGTATCATCACCTGCCTCCATTGCCTGCTCCAAAGCAATAATCACAAATTCAGAAGGGAGAGGGAGTAAGTTCAAACTCGACAATTAATGTTAAATATTGTTTTAACTCATTCTTATTATTTAGTTATATGGATTTATAGATATATGTGAAATTTGAAAAAACATTAAATGTATGTCGTCCTTTGTTTTGGTTGTAACCGCAGTCCGCAGGTAAGGAAAACACCTTTTGTTGACATTTGTATCCCTTTACATGGCATTTTCCTTGATCCAAGCTTGCTGTAACTGTCATGATGAATATACAGGGACGCCTCTGCATCATGCTGCTAAAGAACGAAAGAAGAAAGCAATCAATTTCCTGATTAGGAACGGTGCTTTTCTGCCGGATGACATAAATGACACCAGATTCAACCCATCGGTGCACTACTGTCCTGGTCTTGAATGGGCTTATGAAGAGATGAAGCGCCTTAGAGGGGACAACAGCTCATCATCATCCAGCGCTGGAGATTGAGAATGTTATACTTAGAATTTCAGTCAACCCTGCGCTGATTTGGTATCTATATAATATGATGATATGATTTGTTTCTGTCGCTCTCGTGGATATTATATACTTCAGTAGCCCATAGACATGGTTGTTTCAAGGGGCTTTCTTTGTTTCTCATGCATTGGCAAATATTGAGAAGCATTCTTGCAGTTTTAATTTGTTTACTTGTTAGTAAAAGTGTATTTTATGTATCTTTACCCAGGGTAAAGTCGAAATTTTTAACTCGTATCATTACAATTACCGACAATCAACGCTGACGCATTAATCCCAAACATTGATTATCGATTATGCTGATTATGACCCGGTTTGGTTACGGGCCAAATTTCAATCCGTGGACTGGCTAGTCCTCCCAATCTTTTGTATAAGTCTAGGTCCCGGATAGACCCCAACAACTTGCCGGTCATTTCATTTTCTTAATGTATTTCCAAAATCCAAATGCAGAACTGGATATTTATTACTCTTGTGTCCTTGTAAATGTCAGCGGGTGCATGCTCATCTACGTCCACTCGTTAATTTTTTCATACTCCACCCATATTTCCATTATCCATTAAAAATTACACCAACATCCAACCCATCCATTATGAACGGGTTATCGGGTGGATCAGGTGAATAACGGGTGCATATAAATGGTCTAACTTGAAAGGCAAAATAAAAAATTATAAAGAGAAATCATGACAATTAAAAACCAAAAACTAAGAATTCATTGAATAATAACAACAAAAACTTGAGTAATTGAGACATTGAATATATAATAATCATTAATTCACTGCCGAGAAAGAAAGAATTGATTATCAAACAAAATAAACATAAAACTTTTTCAAGCTATCAAATTCTACACTTCCTGAAACTCTCCAATTGAATTTACTTCACGAATTCATAGGTATGTGTCTTCTCCATTAACAAATACATATCTATTACTATATTAATATTAATTATTATATATATTATTAAATAGACATTATATATAATATAATATATATATGTTTATATTTATATGAGGGTTAGCGGATGTGTGGGTGGAGCGGGTGACGGGTCGGGTGATGGGTTGGATGAGTGTTCTTCCACACCCGATCCAACCCATCTTTCAATCCACCCGTCATCCATTTTTCATCCATACTTTTTCGGGTTTTCATCCATATTTGCAGTTCGGATTGATCGGGTATTCACGGATGCGGGTGATATTGCCAGCCCTGGACTACTGTCACATATTACTTTACGGACCATATCAAATTAGTTGTTACATTTTTATTTTTGAAAATAAATCTATCTTGTAAGCATCTATAGTATACTTTAATGAAGTACACAATATTGCTACAATATATAAAACTTTTTAATTTTTAAAAAGTCTACAATAAATTTACTAAGATTATTTTAAAGGCTAAAAGGTCAAATAGGCCACTGTACCGGTCGTGTAAGCTCAATTCAATATCTGAATTAAAAAAGGTCCAATTCGCACCCCGAACCGGCAAAAAGGGTTCAATTTTAATTTTTACAGGTAAACAACCGGTAAAAAAGGTTCAATTCGCACCTTAAACTATTAAAAAGTGTCAAATTGCAATAAATCGAAAATAAAAAACAATAACAATAAAAAAATAAAAAAATGACTGATTGTTTACTCGTAAAAAATGAAATTTGAATCATTTTTGTCGATTTAAGGTGCAAATTGAACTTTTTTTTAGTTTAGGGATTGAATTGAACTTACACAACCGGTACAGATATGAGTAGAGGGTGTGTACACTTATAACAAAAATGACGTTAAAGGCTCACACTTATAATGACGTAGAGGGTGTGTAAGTATAAAAATATTACATATTACACATCAATAATGACAACATCTACATTTATGGGTGAGCAAATTCCAGTCCAATCTTCGGTCCAAGCTTTTTGAAGCTTTCAATCAAGTTCAGATCCAAAATATTTAGGTCTAGATTAGTTGGATTGTAATTAATTAATTAATTATTATTATTTTAAAATATATTTTGTTTCTAAATTGTATCAGTGTGTAGCAAATATTAATAATTGATTAGATTTAGTTTTATTTGACTATATACACAAGAAAGATTTATGTTTAAATAAAATAAAATAATAGCCATACACATGTACAAATGATGGCACTATCCATACATTGTTAGTGAATAAAAAAGAGTTTAGTTACTAGATCCAAACAAATGTACAAATGATTACACTATCAATTCTGAAATTTGTAATAACTAAAAGCTGCAAAATTATATTTAGCTTAATCGGACATTAATTGTTTGATAATAACAATCTTTATAATAATACGGAGTATATTTTAAGTGTTCATAACAATGATGATATCAAAAGTATTTATTTTTGGGTAACTTTTTTTGTGCGAAATTCGACAAGGTAACCGTTAAGATTGTTTTTTAATGAGAGCATGGTGAAACATCATATAGAAATATATTTGATGTCAAAAGATGTAAAAAATTATTGTCTTAATAAAACGTTTACTAACTCTACATTTAATATAAATAAAATGTTACGCATGAATATAATTAATAGTTATAGGTTATATATAAAACATTTACATTTCTACTTTAATTCTCACCTCATTATACTTATAAAGACAATAAATAAATATAAATAAAACATTCTGAAAATTTTAGAAACATAAAATGCAGAACTAGTTTAACATACCAAAATAAAGTCAGAAAATGAAATGTTCTAATTTACATTTCATTTTCATTTTCATTTACCCCAGTGCCGCAAAAGCTCCCACCTACGGTGGGGTAAGGGGGTCGGATGTACGCAGTCTTACCTCTGTACTAAAGCACAGAGAGACTGTTTCCGGATGACCCATGGTGAAAATCGCGTCCAAAATTGCATGGACTGACTACTGCTCCATAACGAAGAAACACAGACAGTTTAGTGAGTCATTTTGCTTTATTCCATCATAATCTCAAACCAAAAAATAAGGAATCTTTGGCTCCATTGCAAATGATGGAAATTTCTAATTTACAAATATAAAAAATACATAATACTGCCTGTGAAACAAATTTTAAATATTCACTTAAAATTGATCGCAAATAATAATATGTAAGAATATTGGGTACAATCTCTAAATATGAATCCTCTGATTCTTCACTTGCAATTTGACATAATATAACTAAGGAATTTAATTTAAAATTAAATCTTTAATTCTTCAAACATTCGAACGTTCTTCAGATCTTCAAGTCTTCATTCTTGAGATCTTCGAATCTTCGTTCATCAGATCTTCAAATCTTCTTGAATTAAGAATTCAACTTGAAGGGCCTTCGGTTTTCAAGTGGCTTGATCTTCAACAAAAGGGCCGTTTTATGGCTTGATCTTCTGTTTAAGGGCCTTCCGGGATATATGGCTTGATCTTCAATTGAATCTTGATTCAATCTTCATATGAATATCTTCAAATCTTCAAAGATTCGTTCTTCATATCTTCGAATCTTCAAAGCATCGTTCTTCTGATCTTCGAATCTTCGAGCTTCGTTCTTCAGATTTTTGAACATTCTTCAACTTTTGGTTTTATTTTATCAAGAATCGACGAAATCACGAATGATTATTCGTATATTCTTGAGAAAATTCGTTGCTTGATCACTTCCTCTTCTTTGGAATCGTTCAGAGCCTCTCGGGAGTTCTTCAGAGCTTTTCTGCAACGTTTATTCGACTGGAAATTCTTTCTTCATTCCTCTCAATTGAGAGCCCTATTTATAGGTGTGGAGGGGATGAAATATGCATTAGGGTTCCCAAAATTCGTACATATCATTTGGGCCCCAATTAAAATGGGCTTTGGGCTCCATTTGCTTGCACTTTAATAGCTAGAAAAATCAGCACTTGTTCGATGTATCTAGACAACTTTCTTAACAAGGTTCAAAGTTGTTTCTCATGCACATGGAAGGATTTCTTAGCCAGATTCGTTGACCTCTTCATAAGTTGGATCATGCCTTTTATTCATTGGGCTCAAAATGGGAAAATTAATAGGATCGATCCATTCTTTTAAAGATTTAATTTATAATTAAATTAATTGGATATTTTTAATGACCCGAATTAATTCAATTATTAAATTTTATCCGAAAGGACTCATATTAATATTTTACAATTGGCCCAATAATTTTTTATATGTCCACACTGCACTACAAAAAAATTCGCCTGTAGTCACGGACTTAGTCACGGACCGTAGTGTAAAAAGTCAGTGACTAACACTTTTAGTCACGAACGAAGTCCGTGACTAGTTCAGTGACTAGTTCCGCGTGACTAGAATGTAGTCACGGAACATTGGCCGTGACTAGGTGTAGTCACGGATTAGTCACGGACGTCGATCTGTGACTACATCTTGACCGGAATAAGCCCTCCGGCACGTTAGTCACGGACCGGATCCGTGAATACTTTTCATTTAAATTTTTTTGAGTTAGTCACGGACACGAGCCGTGACTAAGTTTAATTTAAAATTTTTTATTTTTGTGGTAGTCACGGACGTATCCGTGACTATGTTAAATTTAAAAAAATTGAATTTATTCCGGATAAAATGTAGTCACGGATCTGGTCCGTGACTAATGTTTTTGTTTTTTAAAAAAATCGATTTTAAATAAAAAAATAAAAAAATGAAAATTGAATTTATTCCGGATTAAAAAGTAGTCACGGATTTAGTCCGTGACTAATGTTTTTGATTAAAAAAAAACAAGTTTTTATAAAAAAATAAAAAATTATTTTAATTTTATTTTAAAGCAATTAGAATAAAAATAAAATCCATACAATCTTAAACATAAAAAATGCTATTACAGACAGAATTATAAGAACAAAATCCATACAATGTCAAACAATATTATGTAATTACATGCCCGTACGTCGGACTCCATTGTGATAAAAATTAGAATCATCATAATCATATGCATCATCATTATCATCATAGTCACAATGATGATCCTCTTCTGCATCCACGGTGTCCAAGGGTCGGGAACTTCCTCGGCTGCCTCGGTTGCCTCCTCGATTGCCTCCTCGGTTGCTTCCTCGGTGGCTTCCTCGGTTGCCTCCACCCGATGACTGAAACTGATTGAGCATATCAGACGACAGAGATCCGAATGTCGACCCTATTGCAGGCATGGCACCATAACCGGAGTTAGAGTGGTAACCCATACTACCCATGTGCGGAACCTGAGGAGTCTGCTCAACGTGAATAATGTACGGGCGAGGATGAGGCTGAGGCGGAGGCTAATATCCAGCAAGGATCCGTTCCATTGCTTCCAGCCGGGCCCTCGTTTCTTCATCATTCTTCCGTTGCTGTTCAAATGCA